CTTTGGGGATTTTACTTATTTTGCAATTGCTGATCCTTGGTTATCTGACAATCATAGAATCATAAGTTTGGAAAGGACCTACAAGATCATCTAGTCCAACTGTCCTCCCATTGCCATTGTCTTTCCTGATACTGCTGTATCACCTGGAAAACACTCATAAATTCTTGTTACTAATTACATACTTTCTATACTTGAGATTTTTTTGTTAAGGATTTACTGTACAGTGAAACAAACCCTTGAATTTGTTTAGTCTTCTGGGCCTTAATTTTAAAATATTCTATATTTCAGTGATGATGAAATGCCAGAATCAGTCCCAGTGCCAAGTTCAAGGCCTTCGAGACGAGCAAAAACTGCAGCACTTGAAAAAACAAGAATGAATCTTTCAACCCTTTTGTGTACAGAAGCCAATGAATAAAGACAAACTGAGAGGAAATGTCCCCTGCTAATGCCACTTAACAGCAGACATGAAAAATTAAGGTTTCTCTTGTTGTTTGTTGTTAGTGTCATTTAATTTTTTCAGTATTTGATCATTTATAGCTCCATATTTTTCTAGGAACTTTAGATTAACTTTCCCATATGAATTACATCATTGATGTAATAAATATGTTAAAATATTACCTGAAGAAATAGGTGTTTTTTTTTTTTACTTACAAATATAAATTTTCAGACTCGTTAGATATAGTGTTAGTACTTAATATTTTTCAGAGAGAATGCTTGACCTGGAGTGGTTGCGTGATGGCAGCGCTTCTGGCTGTACTGTTAGCACACCTACTGTCTTTCCTTCTTAGTCTGCACATCTGCTGTCTCTCAGGAGGCTTTTATGGTTTGTGTTAATTGGGAATTCTGCTTCTTGGAGATAAATGTCTGCTTTATTTTAAATGACATCAAAAGGGCAAAGCCATAATTAACTCTACAAATCAAAGCCTGGAAGCCTGCTACTAGGGGGGGCAGGAAAGGAGGAGCACTTCCCTCCCTGGAAGTGCGAAGCCCAGGCTGGATGGGGCCCTGGGCAGCTTGTGGGTGGGGCATGGAAATGAGTGGGCTTCAAGGTCCTTTCCAACCCAAACCATTCTGTGATTCCGTGACCTTGGCCTTGTTATATAAAATTGCTAATGTGTTTTTAGAAAAGCATGAAAGAAGTATCTAATAAGTATCCAATTAAGTAAGGTATAGAAAGGGCAAAAAATACTTCAAAAGCTCCTGCATACCATCTGCTTAAAGTGGCAGACAAAAGTGATTTCTATGACTCTGAAGATCACAGAGGTTTTTCTAATGACATATTCAGGAATAGTCAAAAGTTTTACAGAGACAATAGAAGATTAACTTTAAAGTGTGCCAAATATTTGCTGTTGGCTGAGCACATTAATTCTGGAAATGTTAGGGGTTTGGTCTGGTTTGGAAACACTCCGTCAATCGTATCCTTCTGTATTACAATTTAATTTCCAGGGCAGTCAGTTAAAACTTATGTTGACTGTTCAATGTGCACGTGTCAATGCAACTTTCCAATGAATTTGTTTGAAATAGATTCATATGTTGCTATGATCTTTGGTATTTCTCTGAAATGGCTTAAGGACTAAACAAGTGAAAAGTAGCATTCTCAAAGCATGATGTTCCAGCTACTGTGCTGTTTTCAAGTTTGCATACAGAAGAGACAGGACTATGTTCCTTTTCATCCCTTTCAGTTTTTGTTGGAAATCTTTCAAACCACAACATGCCACAACACATTTTTGTGCTGTGATATTTGCTATTCAGAGGCTTATGTAGCTATGAATTATTTTTTATTCATCATTTCAAACTGAATTTTTGAAGTTTTGAGTTCTTTCTTTAATAGTTCTCTATCAAACGGTGTTCCCCAGTGAGTTTGCATGCATGCAACCACTTGCGGTCAAAGCTGTGCCCTTGAATGCTACCTGAACACAGTTTGAAGGGTACACATTTTAGATTTTTTACGTGCTTGTCAGTCAAAGTTTCCCCCACACTTTAAATACTACTGCGTTTTTAAGTGTGTGTGTGTATTTCACGTAAAGCATGCATTCTCTGAGAATGAGTGGTTCACACTTCTGCTGCTCATACACTATCAACAACTGCTGCTAATTCCTTTGGGTTTTTTTTGCTTAAAATGAGTTTCTAGAAAAAAAAAAACAACAAGAACAATAAAAATGTTTAAAGGCTTCTGTGAATGCTTTTCTGAATAAATTGAAGATCTTCAGTTTTGCCTTTTTTCCTTGTCCTGCCTTGCCACATATGCAGGTCCCATCCCTGGAATCTCTTCAGGAATGCTGTACTGAAATATCAGGTTTCTCTGAAGTCTCAGTCAGTGGATCTCAGCTGTGGATGTGGTTTCACTGGTGTGTGCTAACAAAGGCATCGACAAACCAGATTGAGTTTGGGGGAGCCCCACAGTCTGACTGGGGCTGGAGAGCTTCCCTTGTGAGGGGGAGCTGGGCTTGGGCCCCAGTTACCTGCAAGGATGTGGAGCTTGGCTCTTTGTTGCTGCACGTCATGGGAGGGCAAGAAACAATGGGATTGAAGTCAAAACTCAGACCAGATATCGAGAGAAATGGGCAATTGGACAAGTTGCATGAAATGGTTGTGCAGGGTCAGTCCTAGGAAGTTTTTGAGACCTGACCCAGTAGTCCTGAGTAACTGGCTCTGATCCCACAGTTGCCCTGGCTTTGGGCGTGTGGTTGTGGTATGGACCTCTTCAGGTTCATCTCTATCTGAATTACCCCATGATGTTCCTTCAGGCTGTAAGTTTCATCAGGGAACCAGAAGCAAATTTCTCTCATCTTTCTGGGCTATTCCCCTGCCAAGGGAAGGTTTTGCAGTGCAATAGAATATATGATACAGTCTCAAAAAACCACTTCATCTTCTGAGAAAGGTGTTTGCTGAATTGCAAGGGGAGTATGGTTAGGTGTACTTTTCAAAGCTAATCATTAGCAATAATGGAGGTTGATAGTCTTTGTTTACTTGCACAATGAAAAACTCTACAAAGTCTATAAAAACTAAAACATTTTCTCCTGGTGAGTTTCCTTTGGCCAACTGCTATCTTAAGGTGAAGAATGAGTGCTGTACCAAGAGCATTTCTCTTTCTAGTTGTTTCTTGTATGTTTGAAGTGGTTAGTGAGCTTGTGTTATGCCTGTGCCTGCCTGCTAACTGAAAGCTTCTGAACCCATCACTGAACTGAAACTCAATTTGACGGAAAGTAATGGATCTGAATTTTTACAAGTTCACAGAAATAGATGTTCAGAAGTGAGACATTTCTGTAATGGAGAAGTTCAGCTGTATATTTGGCATATCTGGATATTAATAGTGAGAGGATGAGAAATTTGCATGGTATCTCCTTCAGACACACAGGAATAAGGACAGGATGCATCAGTTCCACTGCTTTTATGACTTTTTCCATTCCTTTTAGTTCGTTGTACCTTGTTGGTGCTCCACTGAAGACAACTGCAATGTCTCTCAGGAAGTTTTATTCTCATCTTTTTGCTCCCAAAGAATCCAAATATATTAATTGTTTAAGATACATAAGGACCATCTAGAAGGTGCAATCAAGAATGTTCATTCTATACCTTGTCAGACTCAGTGCCCTTGAGGGAACTTGAGAGTTGCAGTGATCCACAACCATTTTTTTTAACTTACTTACAAATGCAATCCAGTAACTAAACAAACTTCAGAAAAGAAGAGTTGCATCTTAAGTGAATACTCAAAAGATTTGTTAGAAAAAATAGAGAATCTTCCAAGGAAAAATTTCCTTCTGGGTTGGTTCTCTGCAAATAAAGGCAATGCAGTGAATTAAAAAACCTCTACTCTAGCTATCAAATGTATGACTCCAGCAAAGAGAAGTGTATTGTATGGTTTTATTCTAACACTTTTGTTATAGCTCTATTAATAATCAAGTTTGGATGAATAAAGTACATAAACCTTGCTAAAGCTTATTTAGGCATGGAATGTCTACAATGTAGTCAGCTACAACCATTCACTACTTCTTTGAGTAGAGTTTTTTGATGATTACATTGAATTTCCAAAGTACAAGTAAAAAAAAAAAGAAATAGGAAGAGCATTTACATCCATTTTAATTGGTGTCAGGCATAAATTCATTAAAACAAAAGGGGAAGAAAGACCGTTCAGCAGAAACCTCCAAAAGTGCAGATACAGATTTGCTGAATGACAATCATTCAAGAGATTCTCCTGCAAGGTTGGCCTTTCTTTGAGACATTACGGTCATTAAACACTGTCACACAAAAGTTCTCAAGATAAATGAAGATGAAAGCATACTGCTGAAACAAACTGGTTGTTCCGTACATTTCAATCCATTTATGAAGGAGATCTTGGATACTTTACCTTCTCATTACAGCTTTGCTTCGAGGTAGTCAGTCTCCACCTGGTACAGATTTGTTTGAATTGTTATTACCATAAATCGTTACATGGTGAGTTATGCCACAATTACGTAATATATTAACTTTCGTGCACAAAAATAAAATTGGGAAACAATAATTAAACTTAGAGAACATAGAAAAATCACAATACTATTGAAGGGGAACATCTGATTCTGATATAAATTTGTACTGCAAGAATTCCATGAGAGTGAGATGTGAAATTTCATATTAAAAAAAAAATAGTACATCAAAATGAATAATGCTAATAGTAATATAAAGCCAAATCACACAAGATCATTTCATGATCAATGTAATAAATGCTTATTATTCAGCAGAAAAAAAATAAAGTCAAGAACAATGTACAAAATAATAGTGCAAGAACAGCTGCAATCTATTTGTTCTCCTCAGTTTTGAGATTTTGGTTAAAAACTTTACAGCTGGCAAGAGATGCTGTTGAAAAACTCAGATTCCACTCAGTGGGCTGATTAAGGCACATCTTTATGGACTTCAAATGTTCATTTTCTGTGTTCACATCTATTGAATTCTGCGGCTCAGAGACTTTCACTTGTAGCGTGCTGTGAGGAAAAAAGTGGGGGTTGGAGAGGGGAGAAAGAAATGAGAGAAAGTTTAGTATGCTTTCCTCTTTGCCCTGCAAACAAGCAAACTGATAAAGGCGAGGTGCTGGCAGGCTGCCTATACTGGTTTATGATTTTTTGTTTTATTGCAGTATGTTCCAGAAACAGAATGGAACCAGCAGACCAGAACGTAACTGTGCTCGGTTCTCCATGTTGCAAAGCTGGATGGGGCTTGTTTGTGCAGGAGCAGCTGATTTTGTTCGTTTGGAGAGACTGTGCTAGGTGAGACTCCTGCCACCAACATTCCTTTGCATAGGAGCAGAAGTCTGCAGCCTGGCCTTCCTTAATTCAAATCCACTGTAAAACCACAGAACAGGATATGGGCAGAAATTATTTTGTCTTTAATGACATTATGCTTGTATGGTCATAAAAAGACTAATATAGAGACAAATCTAGGACAGTAAGTAATAGAAGAAGGAAAAGAATCCCTGTTCTCTGTGGGGAATGCTAAGCAAACCAGGACATAAATGTGGATTGAACCATGTTGCCATATAAGGCACTACAGTGGTTCATGCTCAGGTGAGGAAAGAAAGAGGCAGAGTTTGGAATACTGTCCCACCACTTGATGAAAGAAAAACAAAATCAAATCAAAACAACAAACAACCTCAAGGAATGAATTTCAAACCTCTCCATCCCTACTCTACTTCACTGCAGAGATCTTTGTCCCATGAGCAACACTGCTCATCACCATCCTTCTCGAAGTGCAAGATTGGTAAAAAGTGGGAAATATTTCTAATTATTGAGATACTAAAAATGAAATTCTATGTATCATAATGAAGGTTAGGAGGTAACAATCATGCAGTAAAGTACCTGCACCCACTTTCTCCTGTTAAAGGAATCTTTAAGCAGCAGAATATCCCATCTTCTGCATTTCAGGAAGCCAGGTCTACTGCAGAGTTTAAGTCAGATTATCAAGGATTGAATGTGCTGCAGCATGTAGTGTTCACTGCAGTTCTAGTTACTGATTATGTAATCATACAATTAAGTTTGTTGTACATGTGAAGACCTAAGCAAAACTGCTTATACCATGGGTGACCAGTAGGAGGATGCCAAGTGGTTTTAAGACTCTATCCTGAGATGTATTGGTTTGCATTACTTAAATACTATTGGCTGATGCAGATTAAACTTTTTCTCTCTTGATGGCAAGAGGGAATTACACCTTGTTTAACAGCTGAAGTGGCAATTCAATATTTTTCACAGATCATTTGAAATACAATTTTCATGCTTTACATTTTTATGCAAGCTCTCTGGAAAGTTTTGTGCCTTTGTAACAATGCAAAAAAACATGCATAGCACTTCTAATTTACTAATCCTCATTCCTAACCCTCTGTAATATGGGGTACTGCTTCCCAGCCAGTATTTTGTTGGTCCTTACTCTTCGGAGAGATCCTTTGTATGGTTTATGCCTTTGCACCTTTTTCCCTCACAGCTTTTCTGGTTTACATGTGTTTTTGTTACTCTGATTAATTCTTTCCCACTGGAAACAGAGCATGCAGGTGGAAGCGACAGAGAATGACTTCAGTCAGTACGGTTAAATTTTTGCATTTACAGCCTCTTCAGATTTGAGACTTTGCCCTCTCGCTGTGAAGAAAATCAAAGCCTCAGGATTAAGTACATATGAGAAGGAAGTATAATACTTCTGAAGTATTGCTGCCTTCCAGGCGTGGCCTGGTATTAAAACTTGATCTCTGAGCAACCAACTGAAATACTCAACAGCTAATTGAAGTGATAGTGCAGGAGTTTTTTGGTTTTGTTTGTTTTGTTCTGGTTAGCTGAAAGGAACATAAATGCCCTTGAGGGCCAACTCAAGGGCTGGGCAATCACCAAGTGCATGAAGTTCAACAATGGCAAGTGGTAGAATCTGTACCTGCCATGGGGCAATCCCGACTGGGGAATGAGAGGCTGGGAAGGGACCTGGGGCTTCTGGATGACAGCAAGTGGAGTCTAAGCCAGCAGTGTGCCCTGGCAGACAAAAGGACAAGCATCCCCTGGGGGGCATCAGACCCAGCACTGCCAGTCAGGAGAGGGAAGGGCTGCTCTGTGCTGTGTGGCCTCACATGGAACACTGGGTGCATGTTTGGGTGCTACAATATAAGGATATAAAACTGTGAGAGAGTGTCCAAAGGAGGGCTACAAAGATGGGGAAGGGGTCTAGGTGGCAAGATGCATGAGCAGTGTCTGAACTCCCTTGGTTATTCAGCACAGAGCAGATGAACACAGGGGAGGAACAGGCTGAGGATGTGGAACAGGCTGCCCAGGGCAGTGGGCAAAGTCCCAAGCTGCTGGTCTCTGAGGAGCATTTGGACAGTGCTCTCAGAACTATGGTTCGATTTTTGGGTGGTCTTGTGTGAAGCCAGGAGTTGGACCTTAATATAAGCAAAGTGGAAAGAATAAAGTTAGAGAGATGCATTAATATATTTTCTAAGCAATGTGAACCTAGTCTTTCATCTCACTTTTGGTTCTTTTGCCTGTAGTGATTTATTTTCTAGCTGTTGATGTAATAGAAGGTGTGACAATTTTGTATTCCAATAGCATTTCTAAGTAGATACTAGAATTAAATAAAAAAAATTAAATAGAAGCAGTTGGATTTCTCCAGTCAGATCCATCAGCATATTCTACTCTAAATTTTGTCCTATTCTGCTTATGAAAGTTTGGTGTGTATAACGCATTTCTAGTCAGAAAGATGCTTTGTACAGTGATGCTTCTGCTAGGAAGAACTGTGGGATACAGTCTGATGCTACCAGAAGCCAGAAAGCCTATTTCAGTAGAGCTTGGAATTGGGCTGTTGGTCATTATCTCCTCTCTATATCCTTTTGGTGTCCTCCACTTCCAAGGCATGCACTGGGTGGAGGATGGAGCTCCCTTTAACTTCATTAGGTGAAATGCCTTGACAAAAACAGACATTTTACTGATCTTAAATGTCAGTCTCTGAAAAGGTTAAAGTTTCCCAATTCTGAAGCCATCTGTTTTCTATTACAGCAATTATCATCTATTTTCTTTTTGTCCAAGTGAGAATGACTCAGTCGCTCAGCTTCCATGCACGCAAGTTTTGGAGGTCGGATACAGGTGCTTCTTCACATGGAGTGCTACAGCACCACTCTGCAAGGAGTACATTCAGTCTTAAGAAGTTTTCTAACTCTGAATATAGGAAGTGAGTGTAGAAGCAGTGGAGCAGAAGGAGAAGCTGGGTGCTGCGTGTCACTATGGATGTGCTCTGCCTCATCACTGAAGGGGGGGTGGGATGCCTCATGACCCTTTGGCTTTCTTTGGCAGCAGTGGTGCACGAAGCAAGTGGTTCTAGGAAGCTGTCACTGATGATACCACAAGATTTTTATTTTATGAATTCCCAAGTTGCCTTTACTAATCACTCTGAATTCACTTTTTCAGCACTGCTGGGAGAAGAGCAATTGCCTTTGCTATTCTAACAAATCATAGAAGACAATTTAAATTAATGTTGATGGATTCTGAAGTCCTATCTGTCTACTCAGCCTTATCTATGCAGAAAAGCCTATATGTGGCCAAGTATCCAGGCCTGCCAGGACCTATAAGGACTTTCTCCCCACTACATTTCTCTCCTATTGTTAAGGAAAAAGGAATTAAATAGAAAGCTCTTTCAATTTATGTTTCCATTAAATACATAAGTATTTCTTTCTGAAGTTTTCTTTTGTTACTTTAGTTTTACCCAATCATCCAGTTACAGTAATACTGATTCTTACTGCTGGCACTTCAGAGCAGTTCTGTGTAAGATGATAGGCTGCCAAGCACAAAAAGAGAATAATATTCTTTGAGCTTTTTATTCTCTTTGCAGTTTGGAACTGCATTCCTGAAGAAAACCAGAGGAAAATGACACCTATTGTATGAAAATGACAAAGTTAAAATAGTCTGGCTAGCTGAAGTGCATGCATTTGTATAGTTAACCTCTGCCTACTATATGTGAAGGCCACACAGAAAAAGTAGGCATAAGGATAATTGCTATCTGTTAGGAGACTTACTGTCAGAGATTACCATCAGATGTTGTGCATCTGTACGCTGTAAAATGTCTGTGCAAGTGTTGCTGCAGGGTTATGTTTCTCTAATCATTAGCAATACTGATTTCATAGCACAATGTATCTCCCTGATTGGCTGAGAGCTGTCAGTCTGTTTTTGAATTCTCCTATCTGACACAAGTTCTACAAATCAGACTTGTTAAACAAAACAACACTATTAATGATGTCCAGATCTATACCTTAGAAAGCATACCAGCATTCTTGATACATTGCACTTGATACAAAGCGATGAGGCTTTTAGCCAGAGCATTCAAAAAATGGAGTGGAAATAGAATATATTTTATGTTGTTTAAGTTATACATGTACAAACCACTCAACGATTTCTCAGAAAATGAAGTAGTAGATCTATACAGCTTGAATGCACAGTGACTACAGTACTTTGACATGCATTCAAGCAGAGGCTGATTTGCTAGCACTACATACATTGAAACAAAGGCAAATCAAGCATGCAGTTAGATTTATTGTCTCTGAAATTTAAACTCATCTTCGCACAATGCCAAAATGCAACATCTAAGAAATGTACTCAGAAAGTTCTTTATGCCTCATTTCCATTTATCAAATGGGTTCGCATCGTAATAAGAAATAAATATTTTTCAAGTGAATGAATGGAATTGTGTTTGCTAATGCGTGAGAGAGAAGTGCCCTGAAAACAGATGGCACACCCAACCAGATCTCAGGAAGTTGGGGAGATAGCCAATATGAAGGGAGTGATCTAAAATTGAGATGTGAGTTGTATTTAACACAGCTGGAATGCTAAGGAAAATAAAACAGTAAACGAAAGTGAGACTGGAAGTGAACTGAGGCCAAAATACTGTGTGAGAAGTCAGAACCAGGATGGGTGCATAAAATCAAAGAAAACAAAGTAAATACATATGAGATACATGAGAAAAATAACTAAGAGTTTGTTTAAAGCAGCTTGAGTTATCTAGTACTGTGGTTTTTAGGGTTTTTTTTTTTAGAAGAACCACTATGCTTTGTGGTGATACACATTATTTGGCACAGAGCACAGAATTCTTAAAGAAAGCAAAATATTAGGATAAACTGTCACCAAAATGATATAAAGATGCGATACAATTTTCAAGCATTTTTGTGTTACTATTAAATCTTTTTAAGGAAAAAATAGTCCTGTCTCTAATCTTTCATAGCATACTGTCGTTGAAAAACCTTAGAAGCAAAACTAGCTAATAACCTAACAGCTGGAAGGGAGCATCACTCATTTCATGAGGAACATCATTAATTTTTAGTATCTATCTAGGCACTGTTGTGAAACAAGTTTGCCTCTGTTCCACAAAAGAAAACAATTTCTAAGCACTACTGGAAGCTAGCAGCATACAAATCAATTTAAACAAAATAGAACTAAAAAGTAAAAACTAAAAAAAAAACCCAAACTGTTGTGCAGTTTTCTTTAGAAACATGTTATAACATACGTGTTTGCTATTTTAACTGTACTTATTCATACTGAAAATGCATTTGTACAAGGCTGGATGTTGGGGCTTGGTGTTGGACGTTCACAACTGAGGATGTTGGTTTGGGCTGTTGTTGTCCACAGAAACAGAACACCACCACCTCCAAACTATGATGAATACAACAACGTATATCTTGTTATTTGAATTGGCTTAATCTCCAATCTTTAATTCAAAATATTTTTTTGGCATTAAAACCGCAGTTATGTTATGGAGGGAGATCATCTCTGAAACATGTGACAGTCCCTGTGCGACTTACAAGGCTCCAGGCTTCTGAATTAAGGAAGGTCAGACAATAATTTGCAAATTAGTAATTTCCTTTTCTGAGATTTCTACTGTTTAAATATAATTTTAAAACAGCTGTGTATAGCGAGCTGCGGACATGCACTCAATAACAAATGTGCCAAAGAAGAAATTTTTTAAAAAACAAATATCTGTAACTGGAAACACAGGTAACCAACTCCACCCCAATTTTAACAATGGACGCCTTACCTATAGCTCTTACCTCTTTGTTCACTTCGTAAATAAGCTACTTACATTTAAAAAACAAGTGTGTACTTTGCAGTAACAATCAATAAGATCATTAAGAACACTGAAATCTAACTTTAAGTACATGCTTTTCCCAAAATTTGGGACAAAGCACCATGTAAGTGAGTGTCAGACTACTTTTGATTTTTGAGTAAGAAAGACGTCATATTGTATTTCATTTCCTCGATTTTTTCTGCTAGGCTTATATTTCATATACAGGAAATAATCCATTATTTTAAGCAAATAATCAAGATTTTAATGGTTGGAAATGTACAAGCTTGAGGGCAAGCCTGTATCAGTAAAATGCCAAATATAATCTCTTGATTACATGATGGTAAGAGGAACCTGTGAGAACATCCATCCTAAGAGACTGACCTCCCTAAGTCTTTACATCTGAGAGTATTCTAACAAGATATGTGGAACTTTCAGTCTAATTCCCCAGCAGGACCACTATTTAGAAATATTCACCTTGAACTACAAAGTAAAAACAAAAAATTAGAGTACTTACCTAACAACTGCTTGGAAAAACATGAAGAATGTAATCATGTTACTCACTAATGGCTTAAAAGTATGCAACTTATCTAAAACCTTCAAAACCAAGTAGAAATGAATAGGTGTATGCCCTTGAAAAGATTTTATGTGAAGTGTTCCATTAAGACAGTTTCTATTGACAAGGCTAACCTTGGTCATCACTGAAGAAAAAGCAAGAACCAAATCAGGCTTCTTGTCCATCTTATGGACACACCATGACAAAAGGCAAAAGCACAGGTTTTCACCCGTATGACTGAAAGGAGCGTGAAGTAAGAGGATGGAGAGGGGTGAGCTGGCAGAGCCACTTAAAGAAACATTTGTGAAACGTATGTCTGCATTTCAATTTTTGGTAAGAAACGGATAGAGATGAATGCAGACAGATGTCAAGTTTGACTAGTTAAAGAAGAAAGTGAAAGCCGCCAGGCTGACAAGAAGAACAACAGAATACAGAAAACAACCTTAGATCCCAGAAAACGTGAATTTCATAATAGCTATAGATTTATACTTAATAGAGCAACAGATACCATTATACCAGAGAACACTGAAGAACAATCTAGAACGTGATACATTTCTACAATGTGCAAGAAATCATCAGTAAAAGGTCCCCTTTGTTCAGATAAGAAAAAACGTAAAGAGAGACATAAATTCCTAGTTCTATTCCACAAGAGTACAAACAGAATGTTTTCTAGAGTTCTGAGGTGTCCAGAGCTGTTTGCCCAAAAGCATGGAGCTAGGAAGACAAAGCCTGCGTATATGTCTGCTTTGGAAAAGACATGTATCTTTCTTCTGCAGGGAAAAAAATAAAAATTACCTCCTGTTAAGAAAAGGTGGATTAAAAAGTACTCAGAAAAGATTTTCCATGCTTGGATTTGAAGAAATCTATGATGAAGGCTGGCTGAACTCCTGTTTATATATATTACAAATCTATCAGGTATAAGAGAAAAATTAGAGAACAGCTGAACACAATGAAAAATAAGCAGTTAAAAAATAGAATGAAATTGGACTGATAATTCTGCAGCTCTTGCAAAATTGTTTTGGCATTCACAAACATACAGCTTGAAAATAAGAGCTGCTGCCTTAAAGAAAATGCTGTCCTTAAAATACACCCTGAATTTATTTATTATAAATTACTACCTAGTTACAGAACAAATTCAATTAAGAAGGAACATGAAAAAAAACAGAAATGTAATTTCTAATAGCATCTAAGTGTTTACCTAAATTGAAACAAAATTTCAGATAAGTTCATAGGATTCTTCACAACTCTACACAGCACTGCAAACAGTGCTTAGAGTACTGCTAATGAAACATTAAAAAAAAAAAAAGAATAACTTCTATTACTTCCAATTTTTGTTTAAACAATGTTTGTAAAGCACAGTTCTGCAGTTATAGCAAAATGAAAAGACAGTGCTTTTTAAAGGATGAACTGGTAATTAATGCAGCAGTATATTTGACCTGAAAATCTGAAGAAGGATTTGATCATCCAAGGCGAGCCTGTTGACTGGCTCTCCTTGGATGAAAGAGGAGGGAAAATCTACCCAAGAATACATGCAAAGAATAGCTCAGTCTTATTGGCACCGTAAGTCTTCCCCTTACTTTCTAAATCCAGAATATACCTTTTTTGAGTGTAATTAAAGACCACTGAGTACTCATCATATCTTCAAAACTGCTAGGAAAACTACTAATTTCTGTTCCTGAGAACGGACTAAGCAAAAACATAAAGATACATTTAGATGTTGTTATCAATTCTCTATGCAAAGCTAAAAATCTATCACTTTATTCTGAATTGAGAACAAATAAGAAAGCATGAAGTTCCCAGTTTTGGAGGAAATTGAATTAAAGTGATATGATGCAACAATACTGAATGAAATGAAAAGAAAAAAATCTTTGTAAAACTAGGAATATAGATCCTACCTAAAAGCACAGTGAACACAACATTACACTACTGAAGTTTCCTGCCAGGTGAAGGAAATGGAAGTCTTGAGTTGTGTTCTTTGAAATAAGTTTTCCATTCAAATAAGTTCAGAACCTTCAAAAAAAGCATGACAGACAGCATATCCCAAGGTGATATGTAAATGATCACAACTTAAAACAGCACCCAACATTTCTCAACTTGCAAGTGGTTCTGTTCACTAGGTCACGTGATGGGAGAGAAGGCCAAGAGAAGGAAGGACCACATTACTGCTCATGGATTATGGAGATTCGTGGTGTAAAAGAAGCTGAAGCATCAGACCATGGTATTAGAGCCACCACTACTGTGTTCCGGGGGATGAGGCAGAGATCATTAAGTCAAATAAATGAGGCAGGATTTATAACACACATGTAGTCAATTATAAATCAAGTCTGCACTTCTGCATTAAAAATGGTCCACTTAATGAGAGTAGTCATTCTTTTCACTACTTTTTCTATGCTTTCAATCAATTTTCTTACTTTGTTTCATGTCTGTGTGAAAAAGTAACTTACTGTTTTGGAATTACAGTTACGAAAATTTCCATCTGCGCCATCCTGAAGCTAAGTACTTTTCATGAAAAGCCTTTGAGAAAAGAGCTAAGATATGGCTGTTAAAAAGTGTTTCTTAAAATCAGCAGATTTAATGATTGTTTTGGTTTGTCTCTTGCACTTTACCTCATCTAATATTTTACATTTGTTCTGTATTGGGAATGTAGAACATTCTCCTTTGTGAAAGAGAGAGCTGGGAAGACTTCCTAAAAACCTTGGTTTTCTCACTAGGTCATTGCAATACCTTCTACAGCAGTAGAGGTTATTCACATTGTATAGTCTTCTCTGAAGACTGGACCACTGTAAGTCAAATAAGCAACAATACTGGAATATTAATGCCATACTAATACTCATGCGTACAAAGGGTTCACACGGCATTGCCTCCCAGTTTGAAAAAAAAACTTAAGTCTGTCAAGGGAAGTCTTGTTTGAGGAAAATTTTGTTTGTTGTCATAATAATAAAGAGGTTATCTTACACAAACAATCAAGAGAACAATTTGACTCATAAAAGTATCTAGTTTTCAGTGTGATTCATGACTCCTGAAGTCAACTTCGAAATGACTACAAAGATTAGCAAATCTTCATTTTAAGTGTCAAGCTAACTTGATCTCAATAAGGTATATTAAAACATCATTCAAATATAATGAAAAATCAAAATCAAAAATTTATATTCCCTGCCAACAAGATACATTAGAATTTTTCTCTGAAACTCCAGACTATTAGCAGAAAAGCAGTATTATTATCAGAACACACTTTTAAAACCTCTTCTGTGTGAAATCCCAGCCCGATACAAAGGCTAAGAGGACAGGTATGTCACGTCATCACAGCATGCAATACTGCCTGCTACTGCAGGAGGTCTATGATCTCCTTTTCAGCTCTGATAAATGCATATATATTTTAACAATATATTAATTATATTCTTATAGTCCTTTATTGTATTCCATTTTATTGAACGATAATAGTTTCTCTCATTTCAGCTTGGCTCTACTGAAGCTTTTAAGATTAAGCTTGGTGGACTTCAAAGCACATGAGTGTGGTCTGAACCATCCTCATGGAAAGAAACATAAATGCTCTCCTAAATGATTTTTAACACAATTTACTGTTGTGGTGGCAAAGAAAACATGTTTCAGTGTTCTTACAAAAAGTAATTTAAATGATCACAACATATATCAACAGCGAAAGGAATTGTCCTTGACACATAAATGCATTGTTGAAGCAACAGTTGAGAAATCGAGGTGTTGTTTATTACTCATTAAACCTCATTTTGAATAAAAAAGATAGTGTAAAAAAAAAAAAAAAAAAGATGATTCATTCTCTTCTCTTGCTACATTGACTGCATGTAGTGTAGTTCTTGTTTCTTGATACTACCTTGAACTGTAAAAACTCAGTTGGCAATTTCACTAGTATGTTTTAACAAAAATTGACTATATCAAAATCTGACAACATTCTGCCTACTTGCCACAATGCTTCATAATAAACCAGCATCACAATACCTCCATCTTTTAAGAATACACCAAGATCAGAAAAACTTGAAGAAAAACTTTAAATATTGACTGTGTCACCATAAGAACATTTCAAGCATGGCAACAAAATGATGATATAAATTATGATACCACATCAACAAAAATACAATCCAAAGAACATATGAACAAGTAATGATGCTTTCATGTGCATTAAACTTCCAGATGCAGGAACTACATTTGAAAATGCATGCATGCACAGCTAGAAATCATGTTCCTTCTTTTTAGCCAGTAGCTACATGCTAGACTAAAAATATTTTTATGATTTCCTTAGCTAGTGCAGACAGTACACAATGTTGAATCAACATGCCAAAACAAGACAATTTCTATACCAAAACAGTACCCTGAAAAAAGACAGATTTACAAGCATGGAGAAAGCTCCAGAATTGTAATTTTTTCTCTTTTAACATTTCCTTTATCGAGGAACTTTCTGTTATATCCATTCTAAAGACAACAATTGATATGATTAACTATGAGGGAAAATAAACAAAAATTGTAAATGAAATAATGTAAAATAGTTATCAGATTTTTCCAAAGATCCAAAACTATGAGAGGAAAGTTATCAGGTAAATAAAATAGAGTCCCAATTAAAACTAACATGAGTCCATATCACAGTAACAGGTCTTACATTGTTATAGCAAGAAAAAAATTAAATATATAAATTGAATGCAAAATTTTCTTGACTATAGTCAAAATTACAAAATAAAAAGAAGAGAGAGCTCTTTCTTCATTGGTAAAAAGAAACAAGTAGATGCTACTCTTTCCTTTTCTAGTTCTAGCTTTTTCTATAGCAACCTTGTGTCAAACTTTGAACTTCTTAAAAACAAGTTGGGTTTTTCCTTTATGTTATTTGGCCCCAAATCAGTAAGTTAAAAATAATAGTATAAATGTAAAAAAATCTGTACCTCAGAAAAGCACTGTATGATTACAACAAATGAGCTTAATATGAAGAATTGTATATTACATAAAGTACAAAAGAAACAAAGTATACAAAGAGCCATAATACTGTTTATATTACAACTTAAATTAATACCTCAGTTTATTATCTGGGATAGTTTTCTACAAAATAGAATACAAAGGGGGACATAAGATTTTGCTCTGATGTTTCGAATTTTATCTTTATTCTTTGGGCAATAAAGTCAGACTAGCTCATACAGGGTTGTTTCTAAAAACAGGTATTTCTGCAGTAACTGAATTCCTTCCGCAGAACTCTTTTTCTGCTTATGTGGATACCTAACAGCTTAGTTATTTTATTGAAACTAGTTGAGACTTCTGGTTAAGCAGATTTCTTCATATCACAGAAGAAATAATTTCACAAGTGTACCCTCTTTGTAAGCATATATCAGCCTTTCTGAGATCACAGTTGTATAACAATGTATTATAAATATCTAGTTTTAAAAATAGATTGAATTCACACTAGCCTAAAAACATTCCAAACAAATTCATTCAGCATGATAACTGTATACTGTACTTGACTAGAATAATTTCGTATTTCAAATCGTTCTGTAAGGATTCAATGCACAAACCCTTTAGAGTCAGCATATTTCATTTGGCATTGAATGGATACTAAAACGGATCTCTGAACGAATACTTCTCAGAAGTACATAGTGCTATTTTTTACCACTTAATTACAAAACCATTACAGATTTACATTAGAAATACTTAAGCAACAAAAAAAAAAGTTTTGTTTTCAAACAACTCTGTTGGTTAATAAATTGAGTTTCATTTTATAATTTACCCTTCCTCAGAATATGAGAAGCTATACTGTGGAATGAAATTCTTCACGTTGAAATTAATAACCAGCTGCCACCGACTTCAATATGTCAGAATTGATTTGTTGTCTCTCTGGACTATATTACTTAGCTTTTTTCCTTTCACCTTGCCATGCTACAGCCATAGAAGAATGTAACAAGCCTATTACAATTGAAAAATTAGCGTAAAATATTTTATATGTATCGAATTTGCATTTCAGAATTATTCTGCTATGTTTAATTTCATTACTACTCTGAAATTAATATGAATATAATTAAAAAAAAATCCAAAGTGCTTAGTTGTTTGACCTCTCTAATTATTTAAGATTGCAATTTAAGGTGAGGGGGGGAACAGGAACTTACCTACTTGGCACTTTGGGTAATAAGCTGCCATTTGTCCACTATTGTATGACTGTCTCTTATGCCTTTTTCTTACATTTGTATCAGTGGTCTCCCATTGTGGACTTTTTCTTTTGTTTATTCTGATAAGAACTTCAGAACTACCAGCAGGATTATCATCATGGTTTACACCACTACTTAATTCTCTGCTGTGAAACTGGTCATCCAGTCTTTCAGTCACTTTAGAAGAATTAGATCCTTTAGGTGTTTCCATTTCATTCTCTTGTTTCTTTAATGTGTTTTGCTTAGTAGAATGGGACCTCAAAAGAGGGTGTCTTTTCTCTTCCAAATAGGCCTGATGACTTTTACTTTCAACAGCTTCAGGAGAATAAATGACATTATTTAACTTAAACGAATTGTGCTGCTCAATATGGTTGATTTTTCTCAGAAATATTCTACAATCTTTAAAGGTTTTGGCTTTCCATGTATTTGGAAACAGTTTATCTTGGCTTTGTCCTTTTCTAACATTTTGTTGGCAACAAATTGTTCCATTTGTCTCTGCATGTGACTTAAGAATGTTTGCTAAACCGGGATGTGGGTTAAAGTCAGAAGATCCCATCATCTGTTGAACAAATGCATCTCTGGCTTCATTCTCAGTTGGCAAGAGGCTACTCTGAGATTCTACCAAAGTTTGAGTGGGCTGGATTTCTACTGTATTTTTTTCCTGGAGCACAGGCATTCCATCACTGCTTTCCCCACTTGTACTTTTAAAAAACTGGCTTTGGCAAAAAAACTGTAAATTTTTCTTTTTCGATTTCCAGCCTCCAGGAGCCTGACTATACAGCTTTTTTTTTGTTTGTCCCCACCTATCATGCTGTAACTTTTTAAATTCATTTCTTTTTAATCTGGCTAACGCGAAATTATTTTTCATGCTTAGGACTGGAGACCTCACCATATTATGTAATATTTGTAATTTCCCTGCTGGTTTTGAAGGAGAGGATAGTGCAAACTTTTTAAAGTGCTTTCTGAAAAGGCAAGTACTAAGATCAGATTGCTTAGTTTCCATCTTTATCTCTCTAGTACTAACTACTTCTAAAGGATTGCGAGCATTTGCCTTTCTCACTAGTGAGAGAGACTGAGTTTCTGTAGTTTGCATAAACCAGGTGCAGAGTTCATTCATGTTACACTTTTTCTGAAAAAGCATTTTTATAGGTGATGTTTCAATTTCTACAAGGCAGGAATCTAAAGGGTTTGACATTTCACTGTTACAGTCTTGTTCAGTGGGATCCCTGTTTTCACATACACATTTATCAAATTCATTTCCCCCCACTCGCAGCCAGGTATTAGTTATCTGTTCAAATCTATTATTTAGTTCTTCCATCAAAGTGTCACTTGAAGCAGAAGTAGCCCACCACCTGAGAGAAGGCTTTGATGAAAAAATGGGATCCGATGATACATCATTAATGGGCCCAAAATCACTGTCCTCAAGATTCTTTTCTGAATTTTCTGAATTTCTCATTTCTGAGGTATCTGTGGATGTTATGCTCTGATTTGATTGCCTACGTTTTTCCTTTTGATCTTTAGCTTTTCTCAAATGGAGTTTGTAAGATTTATGCAGCAAGGCACTTCTACAAGTAAATGCACTAGAGGATGCTAATGAATGTAAGAAATGCAATGAGGGCTTTCTGTCTCTAACAGAGTGTCTCAATGGAATCTCACGTTTTCTTGACAATGTTGTAATAACACTGTTTGATCCATCTTCTCTAGAATCTTTCTGCACACTCTTTACTTGACTCAAGTTATTGCACAGCTGATTGTTTCTCTCCTGCGATATGTTTTTTTCTAACAAGTTCTGCTGTTGTAAAGGAGGCAAACAGTTGCTAATGCTCACTTTTCTTTCCTGAGGTGAAACTCTATTAACAGTCACAGATATGCCAGAGATTTTTACTTTTGCTGGCCGACCAGGTTTTCGAATGGTAGTTAACGGTTTCTTTACTGGCCGTATAATATTGCTGCAAGGATGTGGTGATGCTAGGTTGCTCTTGATAGGTCTAACATAGTCATAACCAGAGACCTCATTTTCAGTAGAAGAATTCTGTAAGGCTTTCACTATTTCAGTCAAAGCATTTTCAGTTTCTGTGCTATGCCTCACTTTGCTGTGGTCATTGGCAAAACTGAAGTCAACCCGTTCTCTGGGCAGAGTGCTGATAACATTACCTTCAGAAACATGTCTTTTAGTTCTTCTTGACCTTCCAAAAACAACCGTCACAGTGATATTTTTGTTGCTATTAACTTCTTCCATTACTGATGCATCAGATTTGGTACTTTTAGCCTCACTGTTGAGTTCAGCTCTACATTCTCTCCTTTCAGTTATATCTACTTTTGGTTTTGGAGGCCGCCCAATAGGTCTCTTAACCTGCTTAACAACTTGAGGACCTATTTTCTTTGGTCTACCAGGCTTTCTTTTTAAAACAGATTCACCACTATTGCTTGATTTCTCCACTATTTCATTTTGTTTTGAGTCACTTAAGTTAGTTTGACCAACTGCACAGGAGCTTGTAATTGCTTCCTCACAAACACAACTTGATTCCTCCTTGGCACTGTTTTCAAGATCACTGACACAGATTGCATGAGAAAGATTCTCTGTGGTCTCTTTGTCTAACACACTGCTTGTGTACCCCTGAAATGAACAAATATCTGTGCTTCCTTTAGAAGACGTAGTTGCAGATGTCAAAGTATATTTGATGCCTTCACTGCTATTAACCTCTGAAACAAACATAAGCTTAACAGGACTTGAGTAGCTTAAGGAAGATGGTATTTCCCTAGCTTCAGAAGTTGTATGCAAGGCCTCATTGCTTGATGCTGAACTAGATGAATCAATGCTCAGAGACTTCAAAAGGCTGTCATTAATTTCTCGATCTATAATCATTTCTTGCTTGCTTGTTGTCACACACAGAGTTTTGTTTTTATTGCTGGTTGACAAATGTGAATGTGGAAGGAAGTTTTGTCCTGTGCATTCCATTTCATCCGCACTGAAAGGGAAGTCTCTTTTAGCAAGTGGTTTCATAACCTGTTCACAAGCACTATCTTTTACTTTTTGGCTTATTTTGTAACTACTCAACCACGAGCTGTTAGCCTTTTTAGCTAAGTTAATTGTGTCTTCTAAACGCTCTACAACAACTTGCAGATTCGTGTCTCTCACAATTTTGCTTATATTTACATCACTGCATCTTTCAGCATGGACATCTTCAGTTATTTGCATTTTTTCCAAACATTCTAAAGACTTCTTTGCATCAGATGATTTTCTGAATACAATATTGTTTGTTACATACACAGAGTACCATCCAGGAGGCACAATGTTGCGTTTAGCTCTGCCCGGAGCTCCGTTATTATCCCCATGCAAAGAAAGCTGATCAGTCTCTTTTAGAGTCGCAAAATTTCCTTGAGTTTTTGCAGAGTTAGCCTGGTTGGCTGCAAAAGCACTGTCTTCTGAAAGAACTAGAAAGTCAGAGCTGGTTTGAAAATTAGCAAGAGGTAGTTTGAAAGACTCTGTTTGGTGTACTGGAAAACATACTTGTTTGGTATGGCAATTCATACAAGGATTACTTTCAAGACATTGCAAATCTTTATCTTCTATCACAGTTAACCTGTGCCTTTTGTTTGGGTATATCTTATCAAAATTCTTTGCAGATTTCTTTGCATTTCTTTCAGAAATTGACTTTTTTCTTACAAAAGTTTCATCAAGGCTTGCAAGCTGCCTCTTGATTTGCAAAGATTGTCGTCGAATATACGGTGAATCAGGAGAATTATACATTGCAAATAAAGTTTCCTGACGCTTCCGAAATCTTGTTTGGATTATTTTATTTTCCATTTGCTTATCATGTTGGTGAAGTAATTCCATAAAACTATAATCACTTGCCTTAGCATTATGCAAAAGGGAGGTTATAAAGTCTCCTAATTTTACATCGTTTTCTGGTGCCCTGTCACTGCTAGAAAATTTTACAAGATTTGCTGCTATATCTGTAGTGTCTATTGATTTTAATTTTTCATTAATACGGTCCATTAAATCTTGGAAAATGGCATAATATTCACCTTTCTCAGCTTTCTCAGAATTCATGTAATTGTTGTTTTCTTCATCTATTGACTGCAATGTTCCAGCTGAATATCCAGTCACTTTTTCTGCACATGTTTTGTTTTCATATTCAAATTCTCCATTGCTTCCTTCAGCTGGCAATAGGTATGGAGGCTGGTTGATGGATATTTCAGGCTTGTTATTGTCTAAAATTGGAAAATCCATAATTGATCCTTCCACTGTCTCAAATTCTTTATTCTGCACAGGTGACAGTGGTGGTGGTGACGGGCTGCGAGATCTACTTGAATTTTTAATGCTGTTTAACAGGTCACAGTCCTTAATTGAAGATGCACATGCTACTGCTTTCACAGAATGCTTGGTAGAATTTTGCAATTGTTCAGCACAATACTTAGAACTACATGCTTTGTTCACCATGGTCTTAATACATCCAATCGCTACAGCTTGGCATGACAAAGAATGAAAATCTTTAATACAGATAGGCAGAGGTGGTAAATAAGTGTTTGGTATTTGATTTTGTAAACAGCAACTTTTTGTTATCATATGTCCTTTGCAATTGCAAAATGAAACATGAACATCTTCTTCAGTAAGGAAACTGGGAGTTTCAGAGTGGACTGAATATGTTTGTTTGCAACTGCAAACTATAGGAACGCTTTCATCTTGCATTAAAAATTTTAACATAGCCAAAGTCTGTTGCCAGTGATATGAACAAAAAGTCTCCAAAACTTTGTTTAATGCTGATTTTCCTTTTTCCAAACTAGTAGTTTCCTCTGAATTTGCATCAGCTGTTGAGCTTGAACTGAAAATGAAAACAAATCAAAACAAAACATAAATTACAGTAAAACACCATATCTACTGTTTGTTACAATGGCTAAGCTTGAAACTAAAAACCTGAAGTTTGCAAAACAGTTCTGTTCTATTTGCACAACTCTCTCAAACTTGCAAGTTTCACTAGAAATGATGTGCATGTTATATGTATGTGTGGTAATCCTACTATAAGAAGAAAATCAATCAGAACTATGGAACATAAAGAATAGCTCAAAACACAACTTCTTGTATTTAAATGTAATTAAGCAGTGTTAACTTCTTGATGTTTGAGATCATCTTAGCTGTTAATAAAGTAAAACCTCACCATGAACCTGGGGGCTCAGTGTTACTGCCATTTCACAAACTGAGCAGTTGAAGCACAGAGAGGGGTGATAAATGACTTGCCTAAGGTCACAAATCAAGCTTGTGGCTGAGGCAAGAATGGATCCATTTCTCCTGAGATACCTCCTAAGATATTCACGTATCAAAACAGATTGAATGCTCTTAGGATAGTCATTAAACATTCTTTTAATGACTGGGTTTTCTCCATCCTTCTAGAACAATTAATAGGCTCATAGAAAATTTTAAAAGTAACCATTGCTACTGTTCCTGCTCTTTTCAGATAAAAATTTTCCTTCTGGTATTTAAATAAACTGTAGTGGTGCACCAAGGGCTCTTCAATACGTTACACACACACATATGCACACACAGATTCCTTCCTTATACAGAGAGAGAGATAATCACCGCTGGAATAAGGAACTGCTCTGACAAAAGTTAATATCCATTACATCTCAAATATAGGGTAGGTCTATATTTGAGAAAGACTTCTGAGCAGTTTTACTCAATATATTAACTCAAAATAAAATCACTTATGAAACACTACCTTAACTATTTAATTCATTCTTTATCGATTATTAAAACTAATGTCACTACTTACCTAATCAATCATTTATATTGAAAAGCTGAAAATTTTCCATGGTAGAAATTAGTACAAATATTTCTTCATTTAAATACAAATTGGATAGCAACTATCACCAGATAGTTAATACCTAATTCAAATGTTTTACTGAAACCAATTGCATGACCAGAAAATATTAGAAGAATTCTGTTTTAGAAAAGTATGTATTGTTTAAACATATCACCAAACTCTGAACATGACACTAACTTTTTGATCTAATACTATTTCACTTAACTTTTTGCATTTAAGCCTGAACTTTAGAATAACTTAATTTTGTTTGGTATTATAATTGTTTTGAATAAGGAGCAGACATTATTTAAACGTACTATATTTACATAAAAGTTACCTAATTTTTTAATTAGCTCATACTCAATGTAATTAACATCAATCAGCTTCAGGTTTCTTAATAGAAATTATACACGCAAATTTGTAGTTTTATTGTCCCGGATGGATTTTATAGTTCAGAGCTTCAAAACAGCCAACTATGCATAGTAATTCCTTATGTTCTCTCCTTCTCTTGAAATATTTGGTACAAAATGGAATATATCGAAAATCTGTGAATAGGTAATATTGGTAACTCATAGAAGTCTAAGATAATAGTGATACTACTAATTCAAGTTGCAATTATGTTTAAATCAGAGGCATAAAAATATTAAGCCCCTCTTTGCACTTGCAATTGAAAATAAAAACATTCAAGGACACTTTATGTCAGGATTTAAATCATTTTGAAACACCTCTGCACTGAGGAGTTAGAACATTACTTCTAGTTCCATCTTATTAGAGATCATCCTATGAATTCAGGAGTCACAAGGTGTTGAAATATATCACTATGCTTGTGAAAATAAAGCATATTCTTATAAAAACAGTTACAGGTGAAAATTGCCCTACCCATCACCATGAATTTAAGGAAATAATGTATCAAAAAGCTAAACAGAAGTGAAAAACAAACAAACAAACACACCACTAGGTCATGGATATTTTGTTTGTAAATCACAGTAGATTTGTTACATAGTAATTTGCAAACTGATGAGTGCAGCACAGTCTTTTATAGACTAACTCTGTCTTTTCAGGTTTGCAAGTTCTGCCTAATTGAATTTCACTAGAGATCTTTTAATGGAGATTGCTTGTATTCATAATGTGAGTAATTGCTATTTCAGATATTTCACTGGTGGAAGAAACTTCCAGAACCCTAAAACCTTCTCAAAGTCAATAATCACATTTTCCAAAGGCCTCAAAATGGCTCTGAATTTGCCGTGTTGTGATCAATTTATTAAAAAGTAACATACTGCATACTGTCCTAATATTCTTTCTTTCCCGGCTGCCTAACCTTACATGAAACAACTACAAACCACTTTCCCTTCACACGTGTTAGTTTCTGACAGACAACTTCACCTATCATAAAATGCTACCACGCTCCAAATGACCTCTGTTTCTGGAAAACCCCTGCCTTTGGGGGGTTTGGGACCAGCATTTGGGAGAAGAGCTCATTCTGCTTTAAAGCAACACATTTGTTTGAAGAGAGTCTCTGTCTGTAGAGATGTCCACATATTCAAACAAACTAATGATAGCTTTTGATTGCAATTATGGAACTGTATTTCAGTTTTCTATAATTCCTTTAATTCTTCCATATAGCCCTTTAAATTTGCATTGTCATACAGCAGCTTTAGCATTAATTTATAGAAGGAAGAATGAGCTATTTTGCAACTGCACACTTCCTTTACAGAACTGCCTTACACATCTTACAAATAAGCAAAAAAAAAAAAAAAAAAAAAAAAGGCCAGCAAGAGTGGGTAGGAAATGAAGGGGCTTAGAGGGGAAAGAAGGAAGGGATTAATACCTGCTGCTCTCCTGCTCCCTTTTGTGCCCAAAATCTCTGAAGAAAAAAGTGAGGCATGGAACTATGCTATCTCCCTGATGGAGGGGAGGGTCATTTAATACCATAGATTAATGACTGACTGGGGTCTAAAACTGGCTCAAAGGCAGAGATGTTATAAGGCTAAGAACTAGACTTTCAGTCTACTATTTTAGATGTAACTATTTCTCCTTATAAACTCTCAAGAAAAAGTGCTATTTGAGGACTCCCAAAAGACTTCGTTCCCTAAAGTTCTGTCTTCTGATTTCTCAGTCACAGGAAGAAGGACCAATCTAGCAATGTCTTGGAAGACTGAGAAGAGGAACAGAATGGGAACATAACACATTTGCAAGTACTCATATTGACCACAGAACTCCTACAGAAACAAATGTGTACTTACTGATATGTTTGTTTTCTGGCTTTACTAAGTAAACACATTTATCTAAAAAAAGCTGTATTTTAACTATATTATTAGTAAAATTCAGTTCCATTTAAGAGTCTACATAGTTTTTTAATAATATGTAGCTGCAAACTAATTTTATATTCAGATTCTTTGGCTTTCTGAAATTCTTCTCATTAATGAATAATACATCAATTTTAAGCAGTCACCCTTCCTGAAAGCTACTATGTCTGCTATATAAAATTCTCAGAGTAAACTTGCCATTAAATGCTTAATTTGTACAGGTCTTGCTCTTAATCCACTAATAAATGTATGCCTCAGGAGTAAGTCAAATGAGTCAGCGTACAGGTTTTTCATTTCTTTTTCTTTTTTTTTTTTTCTTTTTTCTTTTTTTTTCTTTTTTTTTTTTTTTGTTTTTACTGAATGAGCAAATCAATCACACATCAGTGTTGTAAATTTATGTGCAAAAGCATTGAAGTGCTTTACTACAAATTACAACGTAGAAACACGTTAACTAAACAATTAAATTCATACAATTAGATTTAGGAATATAACAACACAAAGAAGAAACAGAATTACAGTACATTTACAACACAAGACAAATACATGGAATTCATTAGAAAATATTGTAATAAATAACTCATGAATTATAGTGCAATTGATTTATGCATAAATATAACTAATTGCCTAAAAATCAGTTGTTAACAAAAATCTGTCAAAAATCAAGGCAGCCACAGAGTTTTACTAAATTACTGCGACAATGGAAATACTGCAATTAAAAAACAAATACAAGTATTTGTACTGTAAACAACTAAAAAATCAGTCTCACTAAAGTTAATATACAATTTAATATAAAATTGTCATTAGCTACCAGAAATGGTTTAAACAGCTTTACTGAGCAGTAGTTCTAAAAACAGAGGCACTGTTTTTTAATATAAAATACTTGAGAAACATTCAAATAAGTAGAAAGCATGTAGGGCTTGCTTTCGCCTTCATTTAAAATTCTGCTGAAACATGGATTTTCAGAAATTGTCAATTACTAAGTAGTGACTGATAACAGAATTTATAAAACAGTTCAAAGTGTGTAATTTAAGTGATATTTAGTGGAGTCATAGGGGTTGGGGAAGGAGAATCTACACATTTCCCTGCCTTTCCTTAGTTGTGTAATCAAAGGTTAGCCTAATAATTAGAAACAAATAATTCTGTTCCTTTAAACACTTACAGGTTGAGTATCATCTATAAACTATCAAAAAATATTTTAATATACTATTTCTGACCAAAAAATAAATACAAGTACTAAAATGTTGAAAATTAATTATAATATTACATACAAAACTACTGAGTACTGTTAAGTCAATAGTAAAATGATCCCTGATTTTATGAATCCTGTTAAATTTTTGGTCAGGTCACCTTCTAAACGATATAAAAAGAGTACTGTAACTTGCCTTCAATATAAACTTCAGACTCAAATTTATAATGTTGTCTGAGGAATAGAAAACATCAGTATGGTACAAATGTTAGGCAATGTACTGAAATCCCAAAGTTTTGCAAGTAAAACAGATCTTGAATGTTTAGCATATTTTTAAACTTCACTTTCCAGTGGGGATGCATTAACAATTTAATTCTTCTGGCCCTCAAAAAATATGGCTTAATTCTTTTAAAATGAAAGATGACCCTGACACCTGCTGTTTTTGACCTTGTTATCAGGTACAGTTCTGCTTAAAAAAGGATTCATTTTGAAATATGCAAGTAAACCTTAACCACTGAAGATTCAGTATAGATCTTGGAGACCAAAAAAGTGATACACTGCTTTTGCAGTTTCACTTAAATTCTTATGGATTACTCTATTTTAAAGTGTAAGCTCTTATTTTTCAGTAAGGTTAATAAATATGGACTAGATTTTGCCACTAATATTGCAAGTATGCTCTCCAGTGACTTTAATGGCAAATTCATTTAAAAATCAAGTTACCTGATGCAGACCATATGTATCTAATGTCCCCTTTCTATTTTTTTTTTTTAATAATTAACCTATACATATGAAAAGTTAAGTGCGAGAGAAAAAATGGACAATCTATGTATGCATGTATGTGCACCAAATGTATAAAAGTTGGAGAAAAGTCTTTTTCTATCCCAAATTAGATGCATACAGACATAATTACATTTTGAGAGGAAAAGGGCATTTATGTTCTGTATTGAATATATGAAGTAAGTCCCTGCTCTTCATATGCAGACACGTACTTCTTGATAGTCCATGAAAAAATTAAGCTTGATATAAAGTCCAGTGTGAATACTTTGAAATCCATTTAAAAACTGTAATACGAAAGTAATTGGTCTCCCTTGTAGTCTATTAAAAGTTACGTATTTAAAGTGAACTGCCTAACTTCTAACTACCAAATTTATAAAGAATTTATATTACTGAAAGTTTTAAAACAGCTTCACTGTTTAATATTTGTATTTCTATCAAGACCCTGAACTGCAAATTTGGTTATTAGCAAAATGATAATGTAACTTGGTATTCATTTTGATAAACTGAAAATGTTTTGAAATGTCACAGCAGCAAATACATTACAGTTACAGTGAGGTTTTTCAATAGGAGTGTGACACAATCCTTAAATAAATTTTAAGTAGTCATAACATCAACTAACCAGCACGTTTAAACAAAACAAAACAAAAAAAGAAAACAAAACAAAAAGCCATTCTCAAGCTCATTCTGTGCACATTATGAACACGCTCTAAGATGCATTTCAACTTTCTTTTGAAACCTTATAGGTCACCTTATTTTTCAAACTAAAAAGGAAAATTATGATAAGGATTAAATTATGTTATGCTCTTAAGTATTCCATCTTATTTCATATTTAATAATTCTATAACTACAGTAATTTCTTGGGTTTCGTAAGTGTACACTTTGTAAACACCAATTTCTTTCTAAACCACCAACAAAATTTTCTTAAAATGATAAAAAATGCAGTTTATGCCTGCTAACACACATTTTTAGTAATGAAATGTTTCTTTCTTACTTGTATTGGATATTTAAGTAACGATTAACTTTTGTTTTTCTTTCACAGAATGTACTATAACCTACTAATACTTCACAAATTCACTCCCTGGTAAGGAACTAGCTTTTTAAAAAAATCCCTTGATTTGTATAATCTGAGTTACTTACAATTTATTGCAAGTATTCTGTGAAGTTTGTAAGTTTGCTAACCATAGATCGCGTATTTCTGTAATAAGATGGTTTGTTGAATGGGTAGAGTGGTTCTTCATCAATTAAAAATTATGCTTCACATGACAAATACTCGTTCTCCCAAAACATTTTTATGCTATTGACTACTAAATAAAACCTGAATCTTTTCACCTATTTATACAAGGATTATATTAAATACACACTATCAGAATTAAGTGAGGAACTCTATAATTCTGTCCACAGTGAAAACCCTGAATAAAACTATTTTTCAAAAGGCATGTATGTGGTTTTTGAACTGTATCATTTCACGTCTCCTGTCAGAGTGAACATATGTATTTCTCACACTGTGTGTGTATACAGACATACATACACACACACACACAAAACAATTTGCTAACAATTATTCTACACAGGCCTGCTACTGGTTTTGCAGCTGCCAGTCCCTGAATCTGTCATATTAAATAAGCCAGTGTCTGGTAAACGGAGTTTCTTCTTCGGCGGAGTCTTCAATGTTCCAGATCTTTCTTTTACTTTATATTCTAAAGTGCTGTGAGGTACCCCATAAATTCCTTGTGCTTTGGAAACACTCATTTTCCCACTCATTACCATTGCAATTGCTTCTTCCATTATTTCATGATCATACTGCCGATAGCGGCCACGTTTTTTTCTTGGCTGCTTATTATCTTTACGATCCAAACTATCTTCTGTATTTTCTGAGGTTCCATCTACCGTCCCATTCTTAGCATTAAGACACAAAGGAGAGAGGTCCCCATGCAGAAAGTAGGAATCAACACTTGAGTGAGTTACAGGTCCAGAACATTCAATTTTGTTCTGTTTAGGGAGTATATTTTTCAATTTTTGAAGAGCTGATCCTTCTAAGACTGAGGAGGTTTTAGAAACGTGGTACATAACATCCAGAAGACCAGCAGTATCAGACTGTGGTTTGGACACAGAACTTATTCTTAGCTGAGGAATTTTTAATTGTACAGTAGGATTCGTAGTTTCATATTGGAGATTTTCATTTTTTTCTTTAAATTGTGTGACCATTCTCTGCAGAGTTAATTGGTGGAGGTAACTGGAAGCTGTTGGGAATTTTAATTCTGAGGTTTCAAGTAGACTGAGTTTACTTTTTTCTGTGCGCTCTGCTTGAGCTCTTGCCCACAAGGCTACTTTTTGTAGGACTGCACAAGTTTCTTTACTGTCTTTAAATGAATAACTATCATTGAAATCTCGAGTTTTGTTTTTAAAAGGTGCAGGCTTTCCTGCTGGTAAGGCTTCTAAGTGGAGAAGTAAAGTTTTTTGAGGTATGCCATAAAGTATGCCTGCTTTATTTATGTCCAGTGCTCCAGACTGAATGTCTTTCAAAGCTTTTGAGAGCAAACCATCTGCAAACTCAGCACTTCTTTCCACATAGTCCTCTCTGTGTCTGTGTAGTCTCCTGGATGGATGGAATGAAACGATGGTAAACTGATGTATGAGAGACTCTCACACAGCTATGGAAGGGAAGGGTCCACTCCTTTATTATACTCCTTGCTTCGGTAACATCACTGCTTCTGATACTTTTAAGCCTTTGAGATGTGGTAGTTAAATGATTATCCTAGCAAAATGTTACAGTTCTGGTAGGACAGTGCATCAAAAATCATACGGTGGCTTCTACAGCAGCCCTTCCAAGAACTTTATATCCTATCTCAGTATTTGGTAATATTCTCATGTGCTTGTTATATTCCCTTGTTCACATGCTTGCAGAGCAACACTGTTATAATTTTAATTATACAATTAACGTTCCATTAAATACCCAAATCCTGAAGGAGTTTTTGTTAGTAGAAACGTGACGTTACCGCTAAACAAGTAATAAAAGAGTCAACCCCCTCATAGAAAATTTTCAGCAATAAATACATAACTACACACAAACATCCCAGACTTACACAAACTAGGCTTTCTACAACCATAAGGTAAAGTGTCATAGTTAACAATCAAGTCCATTGAAACACAGTTTTATAAACTTCTAGCCACTACTTACAGCTAATTACAAAGTCATATCAATTTCTAAAGCTTCTTCATATCAGCAAATTAATAAAATGCATTTTACACCATCCAACAAGTACTGCTATTGTATTCCTATTTGTAATAAGTTATTTGTAAGACGTACAGGTGACAAAAAAGGGTCCTGCTATGGCTAGTGGATAGGAGGATGCCAAAATCATAACAAAATCCAACAAAACAATGCTTTTCTCTAGATTAGTGGTAGCTTGCAGCAGAGGCAACATTTTTCTTGCTGGATAAAGAAATTTAACTATTTGCCACCACATACCATAGCCAGAACCATGATGTAAGTATAAATATGATGATTAAGAGCTCTCTCTCTCGCGCGCATTCTCTTGCTCATATTAAGGAGTATTACAAATAATAGTCATTTAACTTGTTCATGTTAGTTGAAGAATGTTTTAAATCTAAATATTAACATTTCTTTTTTTTGTCAAAAACTGCAGTTTCCTAAGTGAACTCTGAAAGAATAAATTTGCATTCTCTTCTACTGTCCTACTACTTTCATTGTGTCTACATAATCAGTTTTCAGTTCATTTTTAGTAACATGAACTAAAGTTTGGTGATTGTTCTGATAACTTTTCTTTAAACAGAAAAAAATAAAAAAGACAAATGAAACATATGATATATACATAGACACACACTTATGAGTGACACAAATTCTTTTGAAAGAAAAATATAAACCACACGTGTGTGTCAGTATATACTAATATGCTATGAACGTAAAACCTGACTTCAGAGAAGTAAGAGAAAACTCGATTTTCTTTTACATAAGCCAAAGAGAGTCCTAAAAATTGCTTACCCAGACACCGAGTTTTCAGAACACAAGGGATCGTATTTTGGCTCTTCCAACCTTGCGTTTTTCTTTGTAGAGAGATCTAACACTCCATCCCCTGCAAAGAATAGTGATGCAAAGAGTAGTCATGACAGCAGTTTAAGGATTATCTCAGAATTTTTTTTACCAATCATTTGTACCTATGTAACAATTTTTAAGCAGTTAGATTTATCCTGTAAAATTTCTGACGCCTTATTTTTTTCACAGTATCAGCTGTCTGTAAATGATTTTGGATGATTTATGGTAAAATTGTCTAAAATTAAGAAAAAAAAACAAAAACTCACACAGAAATAATAAAATTTAAAAGAAGAATCTGTTTTAAGCAGAAACACGAGACTCTTCCTAAAAACCATGTATGCATGGACACTGCACTGTTTACTTCCAAGGCAATGAGCTTCATATTATTTTGTATACACATAGTGTAAACAAATCTGATAATGAAATTAAAATGAACCTAATTAAATCATAGATTTACAGAATCATTCAGGCTAGAATGGTAACTCAGGAGATCTCTAGACCAATCTCTTGTTCTGAGATCAGACCAGGCTCCTGGATGAGAAAGGAACAGTAGTAGTATCCGAACAAATGGGAAGAAAGTGAGTTCAAGCCATGTTTTCAGTATATGGGACCTATGTCTTTAAAAGTTCCAGCTGTTTGTTTACACATACACACCTGCTGCCCCCACACAGATGTAATGATGTGTCTACAGAACCAGAAAGACCTAAACTGGGGTGAGAATTAACTCTGTCAAGACACTGGCAAATGTTATATTCAAAATTTATAGCTGGATGTTGAAACTTATCAAGTATTGAAAAAGAAAAATGTATTTTATTTTAAATCAACATTTAGTAACATTGAAAATTAGCAAATCTCTTCATTAGCTGAAAACTTCCTTCTAATTATTGGTTAGGTTGCTTTTTTTGGCTTTTATTTTTAAACCACATTTAATTTATAGATAAATCCCCTAAACACACAATTTCATACCTGCCTTCCTTGATTCTCTGTTTCAAACTTGGACTGGTTGTGAGTCTGAGCTTTATGAATCTAATTTTGAGTTTCAACACTCACAAGCCATGTCATTGCTTGACCTTTTTACAGTAGTGTCATTTTTATGTTATTTCTAAAATATTAACCAATTGCATATGTTTTCCCATAGCCTTGGATGTACAACATGAAACACTGGTTGAATTTCCCAAATGCCAGCACTCAAAGGAGAATTCAGAAAAATTCTTAGGTTAATTCTGCTTTATTGCCCACACTGCTAAGAGTTTTGTGAAGGAAGTAAATACAGCTATTTGTTTTGGTCTGCTTAAAACAGCTTTTGACTGTTTTTGCCAAACAATCTTGGAAATAAGAGAAAAATTAGCATGGTAGATCAGGGGAAAGAATATTTATAAATATATTTATAAGTACTTTTCAAGATGTCCCTTTCCTCCTAAACTTGTTCTCTTCAAAGTCTTCCTTAAACTCTTGGGATTGTAAAGGAAGCACTATAGTTAATGCTAAATCAAGCTTTCTGAAGCAGTAATATTTCAGAAGGAAAAGCCAATTAAAATCACAGCAGAAATATTCTGCAGGGACTATCCAGCCTACCCAGCTGTAAAATATTCTCAACTCCTGTGCAACAGACAGATCACATCTGTTGTGTACTCCTAGTGGTAGAAACTATGTTAGCCTTTGTTTGTGCATTTGCTTTCACAATTTTCACCTTCAGTTAATTAATAGTCCAGGCAGCATGACATAAAATGCTTAGAAGAGATCACTGGACAAAATCACTAGAAAAAATACTCCAGAAAACTACCTCAAAGTTCACAACTCATCAGGTTGCAAAGAGTTAATCATTAGATCACTATCACCTGACTACTAAGAACAAAAGAACACCAGGTATAGATTAAAATCAAAACAAACAGCAAAATGAAAACATACTCTGAGATACACGGCTGAAAAAAACAAATTAACCTGTAACTGAAATAGAATGTTTTGCTAAAGACTTCGAAATATCAAGATAACCAACCTGAATAGCTCTGTCTAATCAACGTACAAAGGAATTGAAGCTAACAAGATTCTTTGAGAGAAAGTCAAAGGCTCTGGAAAGATTCCATGACAAAATCTGAACAGATCATATCATTTCTATCTCCTGTTTTTCATAAGTGCCTCTGACAACAAAAGCCCTGAGTAAGCTGTAAAAATCACTAAAAAGAGCACAGTACTGAAAATATACTGCTATAGCAAGAAAATTAGATACATTTTGGGCCCCTAAAAGTTAACCAGACTGAAGAATCATTTCAGGTTCAAGATAGCTGAATATCCAACACAGAAAATGCAAGTATTAAATATGTGTATGGCACTTCCCTGAAGACTATGTTCTATAATAGAATCATTATCATAGAATTACTCAGATTGGAAAAGACCTTAAAGATTATGAAAAGGCGATCCTCAGCAAGAAGAGCGAAAGAGAAATGTGAGAGATTTGTTATATGCACAAAAGAGCAGGTAAATCATCACTGACTGGGTTCAGCAAGATTATTTTCTCAGCTTAACAAAATTTTTCTTGTGATTTGCTGTTCACACATACTCTAGTAATTTTATGCACATTATTTTCTCCATGACAAACAGGAATCTGCTTGAAAAGCAGTGCCCCTTGAGATCATGCTTCTTCCCTGGTACATTACTGAAAACACAAAGAATGGAGCAGATGCAACTCATCCTTCAGCTATCGCACTAATATGGGGCCCAAATCACATAGTTTTCTAGTATTGAAGAACAAAAACCATATTGAACAGTGAACCCTGAAAACCTAAATTACTTGCAAGGTATGAATAGGACATTTTAAACCAAAACAGCATTTTCTATTATTTATTTAAACCAAAACAGCATTTTCTATTATTTCTGCATTTTCTATTATTTCTATCGAATCACTCAAACCAGATGGTTTAGACAAGAATTCTGGACAGGAAGAAAATGACATCAGGACCAGAAAAAACTATATAAGGTGATTCAAATAAGAGCTACAGAATTACTTCCACTCTTCAGCTAAAAACATGACAATTACCAGGACAGTATTCATTAACAAATATTATGAAAAATTAGATAATACAGACAAATTGCTACAAGTTTTTCAGGTCTGCTTCTTGTGGTATTCCAATGAAATTTTTTATGCTGTAAATCAGATGATTTTGAACTTCAAAGAAATGGCTTTAGCACTGCTTTGTTGACTTCTCAGCATCACATAATCAGGTACAAAAATACCAAGGTATACTAAACTTCTTCAAAACAAACAGGAGAACAATAACTTGAGTCTCCTCCAAACTAGCAAGGTTAGAGAAGCAGAAAAAATAGGCCTTTATTGGAACCCTTGAGTTCCTACCATACATATTTCAGCAGTCATTTTAGCAAATATCTTATTTTCTGGGTTTCAGGAAATCTCTCACAAGTTATCTATTTAAAGTCAGATGATCTACTCTACTCAGTCCTCTAACTCCAGACATATCAGAAATTCCACTCCTAGCACAGGAGAACACATCAGCCTGGACTCCACCTGCACTGCATGCCTCTCTTACTGTCCCAGCAACTGCCAGACCTCAGAGATCTCTTACTTACTACTGTCTTCATAATCTGGCCTTGGATCTATTTGCTGGGAAGCTGCATAAGGCCTTTCTTTGAACCCACTGACACTGCCAATCTCTAAAACCTTTTGTCACACCAGTTCCAGATGTTTATAATTAACTGTGCAAACAAAGCCCCTTGTCTGTTGTTTTTTTTTTTTCCCTTCTGATAAGCTTCAGAAAACTACTTGTAAGAGCTCAAACAACTTTTACTATTAATTTATTATCACATTATTAAATCTATTATTTATTAATTTTTGTTAACTACCACCTTGACTAGCCAATTTTTGCTGACCTGATATGTAATTTTATAAAGCAAAACACTGGCACATGGAAAATATATGACTATATATGGCGTGTATATGACAAAGTGGGGCTGAGCTGCAGGGGTAACTACTGTAAGGAGAGATCAGGGGCTGGCCCATTGCAGCTAATTCCAGTCAGCTCCAACAAATTCAGGGTAAATTTGCAGGGCAAAGCTGAGCCCAATCTAGCTGGTGGCTTCCTGTGGCAAAACGAATTGAAGAAAGGACAAAAAACATGGGACAAAAAGAAAGAGGGAACTAAAAGGATGAGAAACAGCAAAGGGAACTCCAACTGCAGAGAAAAAATGAGGAAGGAGGAACCACAGGGAGAAACCCCTATGTACTGATTATGAATCCCATCCCCCATTTTTTTTGAATGGATAACATCAAAAGTGGTAAAGAGGTAGGCTTGCACAAGAATCAGGAGTGAAAGTTAGCAAGGGAAAAGGTTGAGAAAAGGTATTCATTTTAATGTATTTGCTTTGTTTTCTTGTACCTGGGTTAAATTACTGCCTATTATTATAAATCTTAGATTTGTCCATGATGGTAAAACAATCCTTACTCCAATGCTTTTTTCCTGTTCTTATTATTCCCCCTATGCTGCTGAAGAAGCAGCAAATGAGCAACTGATTGGAAGTTTAGCTGCTACCACTACTGACAGCCAAAGAAGAAATGGAAACCTAAACCCTGTCCCTACATTCACCTTCTCATATAAAATTATTACACTCTGTCTCTTGAATACATTTTGCAGTTTACACAATTTATTTTTTTGAACCGTAGTATGCATACCTTCAAAACACATAGTATTTTTCCCAATATATACTATGAGAACAGTGTATTAAAATAATACATCTTTCTTTTTAAGTGTCTGGAATTGTTTCAATATGATTCAAATGTAGAAATCAAGAAGCCAGTCTCTTAAATGTATTTTCAAAGAGATGCCACAAACATAGCTGTTGCACTCCCCTTTGGCCTGTGGAGGATCTGCTGCTGAAGTAGCTGGGCCTGGGATGAGGTAACACCTGGCATTGTCTCACAGAGGCCATCCCTAAAGCCCTCCCATTATGAAAAGTGCCACATAAACCCAATACACAGAGGTTCTGGCAACAAGCAGTGCTGGAAGTGACAAACCTGAATATTATAAGAGTTCTTCAGAGACAGGCTACAGATAGCCAAGGAAGGTAAGAAACTTTGAGGTCAAGGTAGATTCTGCCCCTGAGGACATCTGGATGACCTTTTCTCAGTACTGAACACTAGGATCTGTTCAGTGCAAGAAAGTGCTTCTTGTGATCTGGAAAATAAAGCCTAAAATTTCCTCTTGAATCCAATAGTCATTTCCATAATAAAGGAAAAAGACATGCATTTATTACTAAGATCTGCAATTTTAAAGAATGTCTAATTTTAAAAAAAATCAACCTGAAGTCTTTACGTTTTAGGCTATTCCCTGCTTCACAAGAGAGACAGAATTCAAATTGAAAAGATTTCAACTTTTCAACATTTTTTAAAAATCTTTTTTTTTTTTTGAGAAATGTAGTGATTTAAACTTCCTATTCTGTTACTGTCATTTCATTTGGAAATTGTAATTGTCATGAATACAAGATCATCAAAAACTTCTAGAAAGGGAGCAAATAATGGTACTGTATTTATGAGTGTACTGACTGAAGAAAGAGTTATATGTTATTTGCTAGCTTTTTTTAATAACTGAATTAAAAGATGAAAACTTTAATCAATTTCATAACGCTACCCAAAGAGCAGTATTATATGAGAGCTGTTCTGGAAGTAATTACTCCTGTTTCATTATGCTGGCCCACCACGTCAGAGGTGCATGGTGGTGGTATGGCTGTGTAGAAGTTGAGTGTTCCTTCTAATACTCCACTAAATTGTGTTGCTGTGCAACAGATGGCAGCAGAAAGGCAGTCTGACAAAATAGTATCTGACACAGAAGTGTGTATGAAGCAAAGATGTATAATTGAATTCGTCTGTGAGGAAAAAATGGCACCCACTTACATCCATCAATGCTTGCTGAATGCTGATGGAGCCTGAACAGTGGATGTGAGCACAGTGAGGTGGTGGGTGGTACGTTTCAGCAGTGGTGACAATGGGTCACCCCCACTGGTGCAAATTTTTATGGATGTGCCATGAAGGTTCCTGTTTATCACTAGTAAAAATGCACTGCTAACAGTGGTGACCATGTTGATAAATAGTGTTTCAGTAGCTGAGAATGTGCTCTATCAAACATTGTCATTGTGCTCTTTGTATCTGCTGTAGCTCCATGCGAATAAATAGGCAGCATTAGTTTCAGGGCATCCACCGTATTAGTTCTTAAAACTAAATCACTGTACAGTGCCACGGAAAAGCTGTTCCAAGTTGATAATATGAATGCCATAAGGATCTGGGCAGTATCTCAAGTTTCAAAATTCTCTACTGTAAGCATGTAACATTTCGGTACCTTTAAGTTGTCTTCATTAAAAGAACAATAATACATGAGAAGGAGGTAGAATAATTTATAGACGCTTACAACATCTAACTGAAATAACTCTTCAGCAGCCTCTGCACATAGAACATAATAAAAACAAACAGGTTGCCTTTTTCCATCTTGATCTTTTTTTGCTTGTGTTGCTGTCACCACTACAGTGGAAAGCTAAGACAGTCCTAAAATAATATGCTTATAGAAAAATGGAAGTGCAATACAACTTCTTTGGTAGATTGGATGGCTCAAAACATTTTTCCTTCTAGTGTTGTATTGATATTTCCTCTTTTTTCAGTAGCTCTAAACTTCATAGCAAGATTAACATCTAAAAAGTTCTCCAAACACATTGTCTGCCAAGCAACTACTTATTTCAGCCTCAGATGTTTTGCTTGAAGATACCTAATTCTAAACACTCTGAAGACACATTTTCACAGGATTTATCCGCACAAGGTAAATTTGTGCCCAAATCCAGACATGAGCTAGCCTCTGCTGATCACACAGAATAAATGCAAGAATTCTGCAATTTCTTAAAGGTTCTACAGTCAAAGAAAAAGGATGCTGAAATTTCATCTAGAAAATGCACATTCAGAAGGTAGGTCTGTGTCAAAACTGTTCATTTTTTTAAATGATACGCCATCTAATTGAAGACTGTATACACACATAAAACCTTAATTCTACAATTCTCTCTTTGTTTAACTTGCAGTATGTTACATGACACATGGGTTTCACTTTACAGTGGTCTGCAGTATAACTGGATTAACACAGACCCTTGTATTTGTCAGAGACTAGCTGACTTTGCCAGTGTTCTCAGTTACACGTGACAGTCACAACCCCTCCTGAAAACTGCTGCTACTCCAAATCAAGTTCAAAGTCCAAAGCATTCCTGTGATTTTATTATCCGTTTTGGATGACAATATTCCTCAAGAGAAGATATTGTTTCCTATTTGTAAATGATAATGAACAGCCTTCTTTTTCTTGTTTTACACTCAACAAAGTTGTACTGATCTGTAAGCATTAGGTCTTAAGCACAGAAAATTCCTCTTTCCATCATTCTAACCTGTCTGTACTTAATCAGTGTCCAAGGATTAAATGGTTAGAATGAACTCTGTTCTCTAAAGTTCTAGCATATTCTCTCTTTCCTCAGAAAATTCTTCAACAAAATCTTAAGCTACTGTTACCTGTGACAGCCACAAGTGAGATGACTAAGTGCTCTAAAGCTGAGAAATTCCCAAACCACATTTAAAGGCACACACTACAAAACTAGGATATTTACCACCAAATACATAGTATGAAAAAATGCTTTTAAAATGGCTTTTTATTTAATCAGTTAAAATAATTTCTTTTTTCTTATGGACTCATTGCTATTCTGGAAAGTGAAAACATTATTTGGTACTTTTTAAAAAAATGTTTTATTTTTGAAGTAGAAAGATATAATAAGGTAGTAAATGACATGAAAATACAGATAAACAGATAAGAGATATTTACCTTGCTGAGTATTCTGTTCTTGAGTTCGATTCACAGTGAGGTCTAGAGGGCTATCCTGCTCTTCCTGAAGGGAGTTTTCCGTTTGGTTCATTTGGATACTTTTACATATCAGACTCGGTTCAAATGATGAACCATTTCTGTTCTCTTGAATTTTGCTACTTTTTGAAATGTACTCAATTGCAAACTGGCGGATCATTTTTTTCATTAATTCCTGAGCAACTAGGGGAATGTTAGGATCACAGTTCTGAGGAAGATCTAGGAGAGAAAAGAACAACAACACAAGCAATAGATGCATTAAGAAAAATGAAAACACTTTCCTTGAAAAGAATATTTCACATAAGCACAATGAATATGTGCAATGATTTCACATGCACAATTAAAATGCCTAGCAAATTCTTCTTACAAGTATTCCTTTCTGGTCACTTGGAAGAGCATGTCTGGCAGGCATCAGTAATACAGTATGATTATAATGAGAAGCTACTTTCAAAAAACAACTAAAAATACATATTTTAAAAATGCAATTCTACAAATTATTTTTTATATCACACAGAAGTTTTCAGAAGTTGATCATAAAAAGTTGTTTCACATGTATAATAGATGACATCCACGTTGTAGATTCAAGTTTGCAGTGTCAATTTGAAGCAACTTGAAAGGTCTCATATAAGTGGTAATATTACAAGCAATTGAGTTTTAAAATAACCTTCCTTTGTCATTTTCCAAGTGCTAACAATTAAATCATTTGGGAGAAAAAAACACTTTTTCCTGTTCTAAATCATATGTAAACTGTGTAGAAATGCATTCATACAACAGTCCCACAGAAAAAACAAGTGTTTCGGGTTTATTCTAAATACCAGGAAAGTGTTGCAAAGCTGCAAAGCATTACAAATACATGTATTTGGTCTGCTGACACAGACGACTGTTCCAAGATGACTCCTGCCAATGCTTTTTGGTCTGCTTTTGCAAGGTAAGTTGGAGCTCCTCCATTTTCAAAGACTGAGTATATGCTAGACAATTCATTTTCAAGAGACCATATGCATTACAAAAGTCTGCTTTTGGTTGAAGGCCTATCTTCTGACACTCCTTCAACCGAAACTCTACCAAAATTTATAAAGCTTAATAGGACTTTCTGGAAATTCTAAGTGCTGGAGAATACATACAAGAAATCTTTCCCAATCATATAACACTCAGACACAGGTGTTCTTCATTTATTGGCATTTTCTGATTCCTGCATAATGAATCTACTAAATGTTCAAGTAGCATTTGGTCTTCATGAGAATTAATTATTATCTAGGAATAAGAGCACCTGCCTAAAGCCGTAATTCCACTGTCAAGTGGAGAAAATTACTGATCAACAACTTAGCTAAAAACAAACACAAACAACCAAAAAGTATGAAATAAAAGCAGGTAAAAACCCCTGATTTTAAGTTCAGTGTTAAAGCTTCATCACACTTCACTATATTTTGCTACAATCTTTAACTAATCATACAATATTTGAAAAGGCAATTTAATGTGTTCTGGGAGAAGTACTAGACCTCTGAACTTAAGTCTCACTAGCAAATATTTCTTAATTATTATCAGCAGATGGCACCAGATATGCTTTGTAGGAACAAAAAGTTTTATTTTAAGACGTTTTTATCAGGAGTCACAATTATAGCTACTTTTAAGTTTTAAATCGATATGCCTATATCTACTAATAGGACATGGGGGAATGGCTTTAAACTAAAAGATGGGAAATTTGGGTTAGATGTTAGGAAGAAATTCTTTACTCAGAGGACAATGAGGCAATGGAACAGGATGTCCAGGGTAGTTTATGGATGCCACATACTTAAAGGCATTCAAGACCAGGTTGGATAGGGTCCTGTGCATCCAGGATCTAGTGGGTGGTGACCTTGCCCATAGAAGGGGGCTTGGAGGCAAATGATCTTTAAGGTCCCTTCTAAGCTAAGCCATTCTATTATTCTACATCCGCTTAAGCTTCCATTTTTCAGACAGAAGGCTTATACCATAAGGCAGCTACATTTATTCCACTGATTGCATGTGCACATACAAATACCCAGCAGAAAAGTTTCTAAGAAGATGGAGTAAAAGGTAGCTCTGATGTCCCACTAGTTTCTCTCAGATCTTTGTAGACTCTCCTAATATAAAATACAGATGTGTCACTTAGTCTTCCCTTATGTTATAGCCTAGCAATTTCTGTTTTTGATTTTGACAAGATTCTAGCCAGAATACAAGTGAAGGCAGTAGTAAAGATGATATGCAGTTATGACTAACTGTAATGATTTATTCTGATTCAAAGCTCACACTTAGGATTAAAGCTTCCTCAGTTAGTGTACCTTAAATAACTTGTAGCTACTCAAATCTGTATTCTACAGCAGTTTGCCTATCAACGTTTTCTGTACACACTGCAGCTCTCCCGCTTTCACAAAAATGAACGACTCCACATTAACAGCCAAATTGTCCCAGCAACATCCTTGTTTCCACATATAAACTTGCTCACCTCACTGTAAATCACCAGCAGGTTAAAAACAATACAGCCATTTACTTTTTACCACATCTCATTATTAGTTTAGTCAGCTTGACTGATCAACAAACAGAAGGACAAAAAAAAAAAAAAAAAAAGATGTATTTTCATGCAACTTAAAGCTGGCAGCAAATGACTTGGACAGGTATGCTGGAGAAAAAAACTGTCTGCATGGCCAGGCCCAGAAAGCAGTGGTGATGAAGTTAAATCCAGTTGGTAGCCAGTCATTAGCGGTGCTCCCCAGGGGACAATAATGGGACTGTCCCCGTGCAATATCTTTACTTATGATCTGGATTGAGTTCACCCTCAGTTTTCAGATGACATCAAGCTAGGGAGACGTGCTGATCTGTCTGAGGGTAGGAAGGTCCTACAGAGGGATCTGAATAGGCTGGATTGATGCTGAGGCCCATAATATGAGCTTGAGTAAGACCAGAAGTGGGATTCTGCACTTTGATCACAACAGCACTCTACTGTTGTGATCAAAGATGCTACAGACTTGTGGCAGAGCAGCTGGCAAGCTGCACAGAAGAAAAGGATCTGGGGGTGTTAGTCCACAGCCAGCCAAACATGAGCCAGCACTGTGCCCAGGAGGCCAAGAAGGCCAACAACACCCTGGCTTGTGTAAGAAATAACATAGTCAGCAGGACTAAGGATGTTATCATCCCTCTGTATGAGGCTGTACCACAAGTACTGTCATCAGTTTTGGGATACTTACTACAAGAAAGACATTGATACCCAAGAGGCATCCAGAGAAGGGCAACGAAGCTAGCGAGAGGTCTGGAGCACAGGTCTTATGAGAAGCAGCTGAGGGAACTGGGATTGTTTAGCCTGGAGAAGGCTTAAGGGAGACTTCACAGCTGTCTACAACTACCTGAAAGTTGGCTGTAGTGAAGTGGGAGCTGGTCTCTTCTCCCAGGTTAACTAGAGATAAGAGGTAACAGCCTTAAGTTGTGCCAGGCTGGTTCAGGTTGGATATTAGGAAAAACTTCATCAGCAAATGATGCCCAGGGAAGTGGCAGAGTCCCTACACCTGGAGGTTTTCAAAAAAGGGTGGCACTTAGGGACACGGGTTTAATGGGTGGGATGGTGATGGGTCGGCCTTTGGACAAGATGATTTTGGAGGTCTTCTCCAATCTTAAATATAACCAGTCACAGAATCATTAAGTAAAAAGTTTTTCCTGCTCACCAATGGACAAAGAACAATGATATACTTAGGAAGAAAGCATCTGGTTTTCAGATATATTGCTTAGTGGTATGGTGCATGAGCAGTAGGTAGCTGATGGCCCTTGGTTTGTTTAGACCAGAGAAGAGGAAGTTGAGGGGAAACCTCATGTTAGCCTACAACTTCCTCATGAGGGGAGTGGAGGGACAGGCCCTGACCTCTTCTCTCTGGCAAAACTAACAGGATCCAACACAGAGCTGTGCCATGGAAATGTCAAGTTGGGTATTAGGAAAAGGTTATTCACTAAGAGGTGAATTCAACTGCTGAAACAGCAGAGCAGGGATGCAGTACCAAGCCTATCAGAATTCTAGAAATGTTTGGACAATGAAACACAGTTTGGTTTGGGTGTGGTTCAGTGTTGATCTGGTAGCTGAATTTCATTATTTCTGTGGGCCCCTTCCAACTTGGGATATTCTATGGTTCTATGAATTAGTATGGTTCTATGAATAAAGTAATGCTGGAAAACACTGTACATCAAGAGACCAAGAAAAGTCCTGAGGAAGTAGAAATTTAAAGAAATACCTGCCAAGGGAGACGCCATATAATCTAATCAAGAGACCAGCTTATAATAAAAGTTCCAGAAATATGGAGGTGATAATATTTTATTTCAAATGGAAAATAACCAATTTTAAGCAAAGCCAAGGAACAAAGACAGACTCAAAATGCTGCTGAACTCCATCCAAATTTCTTTTAATTCATAAGCAAATAATGGGCCGAACAGGTGTGCCCTGTACAGAAAAAGATTATACCCATCCCAGGTTCAAAGGCACAGTAATCTTCTCCTGATAAAGGAAAGTAAAGGAGATAAAATTAACTACTTCCCCTCACTCCTCACCCCCCAGTCTGTGCATAAAGAGTCACTGACTTGCTCTACTTCTTTGAAAAAGCAAGGGAGGGCTGTAATACTCACCTATTCTGGCATTTAAGTACACTTATTAGACCCCCAATACAGCCATGTGTATAGGAACTGCTGAGTCACAGCCTGAACCTCTGATTAGTCACCTGAGGCAAGCAATGAGTCAGCCAGGGGAGCACAGGTGAAAGCAATTCACCTGTGCTGCAGGAAGGGGTGGAGTCTGGCTCCACCTCTCCTAGACCCATGTAGGAGCTGGCTACCAGTAGGGAAGGTTCTCTCTTCTGAAGATCAACTCCACTGGTGTTTCCTGAGTAAGCCCACAATATGGGTAAGCATCCTATCTATTTTCTTTTCTTGCTTTGCCTAACTCTCTTGTTTATTTCATTATTATAACATCTTAATGTTATTTGATTATACAGCGTTCCTTTATACTCTTTTCCTTGATTATACACTATCTTAATATTCTTTGATTATACACTATATAAAGCAGATGATGAGTGAACCTACAGTAACATTCCTTACACAGAAGCTCCAGGAAGAAAATGAGTATTTTTACTTCTCTCAATAGTGACTAGCTTACTGGAAAGTAATCTACATGAACCAGCTTTTAGTTGCTCATATACTTGCCAACTGCCAAAGAATGAGAGCAGACAAGGAAGGAAAGAGCTTCTAAACATTGTTTCAGCATTAAGTTTCAAACACAAACTTGAATGTTTTGAAAGTTGCAACTCTGAGAAGTAAGAACACCCCAAATGCTATTTTGTAATTTGTAAGAATGTAACATTCTCTCACTTAAAAGAGAGAGTTCTCCTGTTGTGAAGTGAAAGCAATTTAGTGCTTAAGAATTCCAGAGAATAGCGGAGTTGGCAGAGAATGAAATAATTAGCTCACAGAGAAGAGAGATAATGAACACAGATCCAGGAGAAAAAAAGATAATGCAACAAGACTAAAAACAGTGGCAAGTTAGAAGAGAAGTAGTGCTTGATTTGCTGATATTGAATTAAGTAAAGACTGGGGAAAAATAAAGAACAAAGAAACAGTGCTCAGTACATTAATAAAAGTACTTTAGAATCCAAGTCAAACGTAAATTATTCAATTTTTCCAGATTCAAGTTATCTCTTAATAGAAAAGACATGCTTTCGTTACCTTTCTTTCGAAAGAGTGCATTTAGATAGTTTTCTGCTTGGCATTCAATCTTATCAGTGTTGGACTGGCCCTGAGATGAAAGTTCCTCTGTAGGCGTTGACTGTGAAGAACCGATAACTGATGCACGATCCTAGAAGGCATATGAAAATTATAAGGTCTTTCAGAAGTTGGTTTGTTGATAGTACAACATATAATTAAGTTACTGAGCTATGAAATAACAAACCACTAAAAATAATTTTACTTCTACTCTTAGCTAAACTATCTTGAGTCAAAATGCATTATTAACTTATTTGCAAAATTCAGTTCTCTGATTCCTACTCTTATATTGAAAATTAGGTGGGGAGTCATGCTAAATATGTTCATACTTACACTGACTGTTTCTTTGTGTAAATTACAAAAGGAACATTTCTCATCCATAGACCAGTCAGTTAGCTCTTCTGGCTCACAGTCTTAAAAGAAGGAAAAAAAGCTAGATGTTTTAAACATGTAAAAGTGGATTCAGAGAACAAGATACACATCTAACAATTCTGTTAACTAAGTTTTGTTGTAACCTAGTACACATTTATTGGTAAGACATAGTTAACAGTACTTATTTCTTTGGGTATTTTTGAAGTCTAGCCTAGCTTATATGGCCCATTATTCAAATCACATTTCTTAATCATTTTAATCACTTTCATATCAAATTTCTTAAAATGAAAAGTACATAAGTTGCTCTGAAAGTAATGTCTCCTGTTTATTTGCATGGAAACTACAACAAATACAAAGAGCATAATGACAATATTTGATGGAGCGCATTCTCAGCTACTAGTTTTCAAAGTAGTCACCACTATTAGCAATGCATTTTTACTAGTGATGAACAAGAACCTTTGTGGCACATTCATAAAGATCTGCACCAGTGGGGGCGACCCATTGTCACCACTGCTGAAATGCACCACCCACCACCTCACTGTGCTCACATCCACTGTTCAGGCTCCATCAGCATTCAGCAAGCATTGATGGATGTAAGTGGGTGCCATTTTTTCCTCACAGATGAATTCAATTATACATCTTTGCTTCATACACACTTCTGTGTCAGATACTATTTTGTCAGACTGCCTTTCTGCTGCCATCTGTTGCACAGCAACACAATTTAGTGGAGTATTAGAAGGAACACTCAACTTCTACACAGCCATATCACCACCATGCACCTCTGATATGGTGGGCCAATAGGAGGCATTACTTCCAGAGCACCCATCATAAATTCATACATTTCAGTTGTACTACAGTTATTCTAGGTATCTGACTACAGTAGATTAAGCTCTGAATCTCTGTCTCATTATTTTTAATGAAAGTCTGCAAACCCTTATCAAACTAAGCTAGAATTTAGGACAGATCCCTTACCATTTAAGAAACATGTATTGTATTGAAAGATATTTTATCCTGTGTCACCACTACAAATAAATCAAAACCCTACACTCATTTGAAATTATGTTTATTCTGATACAAACATAAATAACATATCTTAAGTTATAAGAAGGCCTATAATACTACTGAGCAAATACAGGACTTAAACAGATCAGAATGGAAATGCATCATTTACTTTCTTTAATCATGTTACTAAGCTCCATTTCAGGTTAGCTTTCCACCACATATTCTCTTCACAAATCACCAATCACTGATGATTTTCCAAAATTAACTGCTCTGAAAGTCTTCCAATTTTTTGTTTAAATTTACTCATAGCAATTTCTTCCAGTCTGCCTTTGTGGCAACACTGTTCTTACATCCAGTTATCACTCATGGGTATCTGGTATCTTGACATACTTACAGATAATATCATCATTCCCCCCCCTTATACTTCATTTTGCTCGGCTAATTTAGTCCACTTGGACTTCTCTCACAGTACTCAGCTGTATTTTCTCTGCATTGTTGCTACTTGGTCTCCTGTTTCCTGAATACAGGTGACCACATTCAAGATGATGCTTTCCCTTTACATTTACAACAGCCTTTCCTACAGCATCCTGGTTGTGCATAAATCTTGATCATGGCTACATCACTTTGAAAGGTGAATATTAATTTAACTAGAACAACAAGGTCTTCCACCATGCCAGTCATTTCCACTTTATGTGCTTACAACTTAAAAATATACTTGTTTTCTTTATGAACTACTTTCTTTATGTTGTGGTGGATTGACCCAGGTTGGCTGCCAGAACTCCTAAGCCATCACTCTAATTTCCCCTCCTCAGCAGGTTTTTTCTGTCTAGCAAGATGGAAAAATTCCTGGATCAAGACTGAAAAACTCATGGGTCAAGACTAATGCAGGGAAAATCACTTACCAAGTACTGTCACAGGCACAAGAATCAACTCGGAGAAAGTAAATTTAATTTATTGCCATTCAAAACAGATTTCCATAGTGGGGGAAAAAAAAAGCAAAACCAAACACCTTTCCCCACTGTCTTTACAGTCAGTCCTTCATTCCTGACTCATCTCCTCCCCAACTCCAAAAGTGTACAGAACGTATGGATCTTGAAGTCCCCATCCATTCATAATAATTCTCTGCTCCTTCTTCCTCCTCCCATTTTCCCTGTTTTCACCACGCAACCCCTTTCACAGGCTACTTCACCAGTGTGGACTGTTCTTAATGACTGCAGTTCAGGAAGTGCTCTAGAGTGGGGACTTAGCACAGGGCACAGTCCTTCAAAATAAGACTGCTCCAGCATGGGTTCCCTATGGGCTACATTCTCTTCCAGAGGAACTGCTCCTGGGTGGGCTTTCCAAGGGCTGTAGTTTCTTTCAGGGCACATCCATCTGCTGTGACATAAGGTCTTCCTTGGACTGAAGCATGGATATCATCTCTGGCATGGTTCTCCAAGTGCTCCAGGTTATTTCTCCAGGTGGTAGCCTCCACAGGCTACTGCAGGGGAATTCTGCCCCAATACCTGGAGCACCTCCTCTCTCTCCTTCTCTGACATTGGTGTCTCAAGAACATTTCTTGTGCTCCTTCTCCCTGCCCACATTTCTCTCTCATTAATGCTCTGCAGTTTTGTTGGTGGTGGTTTTATTTTTGTTTTCTTCTGTTAACTCTCGCAAATACCTTATCACAGAGGCACTACCAGAAATAAAATTAACCCAAAAGAAAATGAGGGTCCTACATTGGATGTGAACATAATTAGCTTAAAAATAAAAATTCTGAGGTAATAGTGTGAACTTCATTCTCAAATACTAACATAAAGCAGAATTCTGCATTAATAATCTGCTGGTTGGCATCCCTAGAAGTACATAGCAATTTTGACATGTTGGAGAATAGATCACAGAAAAAAGACAGGATTTTCCTGACTGTACAGTAAAAACAACATTAATCTCAACATTCCTGACTGGTAGAGCTATATATTGAGCACGTCTGCATATAAAAAACTAATGCACGTTACACTTTCATTACCAAATACATGTTTTCATAGTTCTCCCTGAAACCACAATAGGACTACTTATGAACATTGAGACTGTGAGTGTAACTCCAGGACAGATTTTATATTTATCAGAGAAATTCTTTGGACTGGAAATTTTCAAGTTCCACTGTTAAAAGTCTAATTGGAGAGCAATCCCTGTGCGTCAGCAAACAAGCAAGACCTGAGAAGCATCAGCTCTGCGATACTAAATTTATGCAAAAAAGACTATCTCATGTTAACGTAGTGTATCAGGAAACCAGTGAACTAAAGAAAAAATGCCAAGAGAATAAGAACTCAATCTATAGGTAATGGATGAATTCTGAGCTTCTCTAATACTAGTATTTCGAAATGGAGTAAAAAAGATGAGAACAATTGTTGTAACTTTTAAAAAGAGTGGTTAAAAACCACAGTACTGATGAAAAGAGAAAGGCTAAAGGTTCTGTCACGGATTGTCTCAAACACTCAAGCCATATTTTAGAAAAAAATAACATGAGAAATAAAGGGAAGAAAGAGGCTCTTCGCAGTGACAAAGTTATTTCAAACTGTCCTCCTAGACATCTTCCTTCAGAGCTTCATCTTACTGCAGAGTTTTTTAACAGTGGCGCAGCAATATCAAATAAGCTTGCGTGCATTCATACTGTCTCTTCTGGCTCAATAAAAAAAAAAACAACCCAACTACTCATGTTTTCCTTTACACGTAGGCTATTGTTAATGATACATCAGTAACAGACCTAAGCTCAGGGCAACTGATTTCACTTATCTACAAATGGCTTTTGAAAGATATCCTCAAAAACGTCTTACTCCTCACCTCAGACCAGTGCTTTTCCAAGAGAAAAAAAAGGCAAACTTAGGCAACTACTGGGGTATTTGTTGATACATCAAATGCCAGGCATATGACTGTCTCAGATCTTCATGAGAGAAAGCACATTGATGTCAGTACTAGTTTTTAAACTACAGATAGACAACCATACTCTTAGAAAGATCAGAGGCACAGATAGCCTCTTGGCTACATACAACTTTGGGGGATAGAATGAGTTTGATCTTTCTTCATGCTGCTTGGTGTCAGCCAATAAAGATTTGGCAACAGCTTATAAAACTAACCAGCCCTTGAGCAAAAGCTGCAAAGAACATTTTAATACTAAGCATGGTCTTCAAATCAGTGCCATTTAGTTCAAAGCTGCTAAATTTATTTCCTTTTTTAAATAAAACAGTGACCTTTGACAAAACTACCACCTATTTTCAATTAAATCATTTAAATCTTTGTTTCCCTCAAATTTTTTTACTCAGTCACATTGGATTAAGCAAATTAACGGATGTGTTGTACTAAAGCAGCTTTGATATTTACCTTTAAATATAAAATTGTCTACTAAATCTGGAAAGAGTATATAAAAACAACTTTGCATTTTCCATGATTTTTTGCATTACAATGTCACAAGTATTACAGCTGTCACAATTGCAAACAAATCTTTTTTTTAAACAAAATGTTACTGTCCTTAGTAAGTACATTAAATAACCGAGGTGCTTATTGTGTTACTACTCTTTATCATGAAGTCTTGACTACAACTAAAGATTCATGCTTCTAATGTAAATTTTCACTGCTTTACCTCCACTATGAATAAATATTCAGAATTTAAGGGAAAAAAAATACAGTACACCCTCAAAATTATTCTTTTATTTTTTTGAGTTGCTTTTTCACACCACACAATAATGTGCCCTTCCTCTGTCTATAACAGAATCCTCTCCTTCCAAATCTCATCCAAAATTTCAGAATATAAACCCAAAATAAGAAACACACACATAACAGAAGAAAAGCTAACATTTTAGCTCAATATCCATGTGTAGAATGTAAAGAGTAACAAATTACATGTGAATCTAATTAGCAGAACATGAGTATAAGCAAACAATTAGGAAGACCTAATACCAAGATATGAACTGGACAGCTTTGCAAGAAGACAGGCTATTAAAGCAGTCAAGAGGGGAAAAAAAAGAAAAGGGTGATAATTATTCATGCAAATACAAGTCCTACACATATAATGTGAAAGAATTTTAGGATAATGAAGCAAATCTTTCCCTCTTCAGGTAGGTATCTGTTATCATGAATGGCTACTTAATTAGCCTGGAAACTTAGTAAAATAATTTCTAAGGTTTACAGGGTATTTTCCTTGAAAAGTAAGAAAAATAAACCAGTAAAACTGAAATGTACATCTGAAGTTGTTGTAATTTATTTTACCCTCAAGCAGCCTTGAGTTCAATAATTTAATCTGGAGATCACATACTGTTTCAAGATGGAGCTAAGGAGGAGTTATATAAACTAATACACTCACATTACATTTGCGGCATATTTGTTACAAAAATACATAAAAATTACAATGTAAGAGGAAAAACCTATATGCCTCTTAGCTGCAATATTTCAGCAGATCCTCACATATTTTCAGGTTAGTAAGATATTTGATTTCTTGACCTTCATTCAGAGAAACATACACTCCTGGTAGTGAGGCATAATACTACATATACATAGTACTGGTACAGTGCTCATGACAAACAAAATGGACAACTTATAGGACACAGTGACTTTGGACTGTTGCTGAGAGCCTAAAAATGTGCATTCTGTTCTTTATACCAACCATATTTTTAAACTAAGGCAAATCTAGTTTGTCTCAGTTTCTTTATCTGTAAAATGAAAAAACTGCTCTTGAATAATAAAAGGTGAAGATCTATTGTCAATCTTACACAAAAATGCTGTATTAGTTTTCACAACACAATTCCAGTGACAATTTAGAAACAGACCTGCATCCTATAAGGTCAATGTCTACCATATAAATATGGAGCACAGCATTCTCTTTCAGACTGTTATAGTACCTATATGTATAAAAAAATGAATAAAAAGAAATAAGGTAAGGAGGGCACCCTATCATCACCCATGTCTTCTGAGTTGCTTCAGAACTGAAAACAGCTTTACAGGTCTGTCAGACACATAGGAAAAAGCTTTAACTATCCAAAAAAACCCAACAAAACAGATGGAAATATTACTGACAAATGAGGGTGGCTGGGGAATGGGGAATAACTTTCAACAGATTACATTTTAGATAAACATGAGCTTTATCTGCATGAAAAAAAAAAAAAAACTAGTAAGCCAAAGATCCTCTGTAAACAATGGACACCACAGATCACCTTAAATAGAAGGTCACAAGAAGTCTTCAACAACATGAGTAAATAAGTATTTCCCATAAGAAGTGAAGCAACAGACATGAAGCAACTCTAAAGCAGTAACGTAACACTTTACAGTTGACTGTTGGGCTCTTTTAGCTGTATCACTTATATTCTGGTCAGTCATTTGATGCTTTGTCTTATGCAAAACTCCAAGAATACCCTGAATTTGCTTTCAAACTGTAAACCTTTTAATGCAAGAAAATAAAGCTTTAGTAACTGATCAATATGAAGCCTAACAGAAAACAACCCATTAGAATTAGAACCAGATGAAAAATACTGTACACAAAGATTAACACTGCCCTCTTCACTTTCCAGAGTAATGTGCTTGTTCTTAAACATAGTAGGTGGAAGTACTAATCCAGAAAATAAGTTTTAGCCGAATTCTACACATTTAAGTGTTTTTCAGAGTCTGACTAGTGTCATGCCTAACTTTATAAGTGACAGAAAGTTATTCTTAAAATAGTAGTGAAATAATATTTTAAAGTTCTCCCCCTTCCTTGAAAATAGTGTTATGCATATGATACAGGCCAAGGAACTTATGCAATACAAAACCACAACCATGTTAAAGCAATTGTTCCAAACCTGCTCTAAGCAAACATACACAGTATATGACACTCCACCTCATGTGCTACCAGCATATAAATTATAAACTTCATAGATTACATTATCAAACAATAAAACTGTGAGGAAATTAAATTGAACATTTTGAAAGTTTATAACAAGGAAAGCTTTTTTTAAAACCATGGAAATTTCAACAAAATATTTATTTCAAAGTTTCAAGGCAATTTGGTGTTAGATTCTCATCTTTGGCTTTGGTTAAAAACTGATAAATACTTAGCTAAGCACCCAGATGTTATTAACACTCTAACAACACCAAACTCACATGGAATAAGGATAGATATTGCACAAGAAGAGTAGAAAAAGATAATTTTTTTTTTTTTTTTACATAAAAGATTAAAATTTGAGTAATAGGAAAAGCAAGCTAGCGTTCATAATCTTCCCTTTTCCAATTAATGTTGGTAGGGAAGTCAAGCTGCTCTAAAACCTGTCCAGAGAATGAAACCAGAGATGAAATATTCCAGAAAAGTAAAACTCTCACGAGAGCTACTCAGGAAAGCTTTACTAATCCAAAATTTCACTGCATATCATGACCCGAGCATTATTTCAAATTGGGTTTTGCCTCTGCACAGTACTGACATGAATGTGAAGAAAAATAAATTAAAAAGAAAAACAACTGGAGATTTCCTGCTTTTTTTTTTTGTTGTTAAGAAATACATATTTCAGAGTACTTCTAGCTAAAAGAAAAACTTGCAAATAAAGATCATTGAACTAAAAGTTGGCCCATTTACCTTCAAATAAACTGAGGTCTCTTCGTAGCCTTGGTCCATAAAGCCCTTCTAAAATACTTTCAAAACCTGGAAACAAACATTTAAAACAGTGAATTAAAGGTTTATTTTAAAAGGAAAGCAAATTTGAGAAAACTAGCATCAAATATTCTCAAGTCCTGAGAGCAATTTCAAAAATTGTTGCGTTTATCATGTAAATATTCCTGCTGCTAAAGGACTGTTCAAGAGAATTAGAAGATAAACACAAGACAAGGCAACTGCCATCTGCACACAGTCAGCCTATTAAGCCATGCCCCAACAACCTCATTAGACTTAAAATAACTGCCACAGAATCTTAAAGGTGGGAAGATTAACCTCATAGCTCTACACAAGTGAAGCCTTTCTTACACTGTGAATTAGAAATTGGAAAAAGAGAGCAGGAAGGGATAGGACTGCAAAAATGAGAAACATCTTGCTTAGACTCACTAACATTACATTATCTCAGAAGGCCAGTACTCCTAAAAATGTATTTAAAAACTTCTGCTTCTGATGCTACAGAAGTTCTCTGTAGTCCTAAGTATCTGTACAAAAACCTTTCAAAATTAAGGATTAGATAAATCCAATTATTTTCCAGATTGACCAGCTATTCCGTTCTAGGTACTTTGTAAAATCACATCCTGCAGCAGTGCAGAAGAGCAAATCAACTAACAAACAAACAAAGCCATCCCACACACAACACAAGAGGGCAACTGATGAAATATGGTGAGAATTGTATCTCATTATGAATGTAAGTATAATTAAATATGTAAATAGTATTCAAGTGCCTCCTTTTCTCCTACAGACTTCTATACAATAAGCCTATTTTCAGCTAAGAGGATAATTCAAAGCAGCATTTGAAGATTCAGGTTCTCCATACTTGGGACCTGGCAGCTGCCCATATCAAAGATGGAGCTACATTCTAGCACTTCATAAGAGTATTTTATCGTCCTACTCCAGAAAAGATATCCTCGAGACAAAAACTACCTATCAGCAGAGAACACTTTTATTATTTACAAGTCTGCTCAATATTTGTGATGCCCTCTATCACAAGTGATATTTACATTGCTTTAGACTGTATGCGTGTTGGTATGAGGAGGAATAAATATCCACCGTACATTAAGTAGTGTTAAATAATATATTAAAATTCTAACATAAATGAGAGAAGTTAGCTTAACACACAGGAGCTGCTCCATCTGAAAGGTCACAATTGCATTAAGACATACCTTTCAGATTTTGCATAACTCCATGCTTTCATATCTGAATTATGTATTATTAAACTCAACTGAATGCAATTATACTTTCAATAATTCTATGATTTGAGATAAGTGTTTATTTCTATCTTAGGTTTCTACTTTTTTAGCAATAAATACACTTCTCAACATTTTTTTTTTTTTATTAATATAGTCCACAAAAATCAGAAAGCAAAAAACCAAGGCCCAAATGAACACTGAAATTTTACTGAAATATCATCCACTGAATCTGTGATTCAATGCAATATAAATTCAAACCACATTAGGACTTGGAGAACATGACTTATAAGGAGCAAATGAAGGAACTGGGGCTGTTTATAGTCTCCTGAACTGAGGACTTTACATCTGGATGCAGTACTCCAGGTGAGTCCTCACCAGCATAGAGCAGATGGGCAGGATCACCTCCCTTGCCCTACTGGCCACGTCTCTTTCAATGCAGCCCAGAATACAGTTGGCTTTTCGGGCTGCAAAGGCACATCGCTGACACGTGTCCAGTTTGCCATCCATCTGTACCCCAGGTCCTTTTTGGCAAGACTGTACTCTGCTATTTCATCTTTCATCTTGTACTGACAGTGGGGGTTGCCACAACCCAGATGCAAGACCTTGTTTGTGGCTTTGCTGAATCTCACCAGGTTCTCCCAAGCCCTGCTATTTAAGCCTGCCTAGGTCATTCTGAATGGCATCCCATCTCTCAGCTGTGTAACCAAACCACACAGATTGATATCATCCACAAACTTCACAATGTAGTCTTTTCCTAGGCCTTATTCCCAAATTCTCTCAGAAAAGATATATTCCACTCCTACTTCAGGCAGTTCTCAACTGCTTTTCAGAAGGATTTAAGGGAATTCCTCTCCCAGTCTGTATACATATTTGGGGCTGTCTTTACTAAAACTCAACACTTGGCCTTGTTGGACCTCATTAGGTTGACGCAGGCTCATTTCTTGAGTTTGTTCAGGTTCCTATTTATGAAAGTTTCAATTTAGCCTAAACAGAAAAAAATACATTTTGGTTTCTCATACAGCTGCTGCTGAATATCTGCCAGCACCATTTTATGAAGTGTAACCATTTGACATCAGGATTTTCAATAAAACTTTCCTTGGAAATGAAAGCAGCTGCTTTAGCAATCTTCAAAAAGCTGAAGGGCCCGCAGACACCAGTCAGAGATACACTTTGCTTACACACTTCTATCCCACCAAATAATGAAAAGTAAACAAAAAGCTGTTCCATGTTCATTTTACAGTTGTTTTCACAAGCATCTCTTGGTGGCTGGTTGCTTCCCTAACTTCAAACTGCCTTACACAACTAGTGCTAATTTATCATAGATACTATTTGACTCCAAACTGAAGTACAGACTTTTATTTTGCAATGCTTAATTATGTCAATTTAATTCCATCTACCTCTTAACCAATTTGTTACTTGACATCTTGTATCTTCATCTAAAAAGAGCATCAGTTCTACTCACTATTCAACAGCTTTTATGATCCAAGTCAGGTCACCTCAACAGTTTCCATAAGCACAAGTTTATGATACTGCTGGTCTTTTTATGGAAGAGCATTTTCATAGTTTACTTTCTTAAACAAGGTTGTCAACTTCCTTTTCAAGCAGTTTCCCCCCACCCAGCTTATGATCACCCTCTACCAAATCTGCATTCCTGCTAGGATAAGGACTTCCAGGACAAAGCAGGCTTAAACTGTGAGTTGAAGCAACAGAAAGAGGTGCTGAGAAGGCCCAGAGATGAAGAACAGGGGAGGAGGAACAAGTTCTGCTAGGTTTAGCACCTAAACCCAATCCATGTGTCCACAACCAATGCCACTAAAAGGAAGTAGTAGCCGGTAGTGGTTGCAGACTTTGTATGTGGGATGAAGACTTCCACACACCATACATACCTGCTGCTTGCCCAGAGACCTAAGGATGTTGCTGAAAGATTTTGACTTGACTACTGTAATATTACCTATTGCTCATCTACACAACCACCCACAGTAGTGTCAAGGGAGATCTCCAGATCAAAGTTAACTGGTACAATAGCGAAGGACACTGGAGCCCAAGAAGGCTAAAGGCTTTGATAGGAGAAACATCCAGCAAATAAACACATGACCATCTTGCTGCAGACAGGACTTCAGCTTTTATAGCAGTAAGATTGTTTCTGAGAAGGAAAGCGCTTGAGACAGGATTCATTTGGTAAACTAAATCATCACTGCTAACAGGTTTGCCTGATAAGGAGGGCTTCCAGGAAGTAGAAGAATGGCAGAGAGGGTAAAGGCACCAAACAACACGAAGTGCCAGAAGCAGGGAAACGATAAGTAGCATCTCACAACCAAGACTGGAAGCATGTTTTCAACAATGTATTTGAATGACTCAGTCTAAGCATCAGGAGAACATCCAAGAAGATTACACGTGATAAAATGAGGCTAACATTTGAGCACCGTTTTCAAACACAACGCTTGGCAGGTCTGAAGTTGGAGAGATAATTACTAAACAGCTGGGATAGAACAGCAGTATGTGCACAAGATACATCACTATATTAAAATGTTTCTGATAGGTTTGGTATTTTCCACACGAAATTCATTTCTGGATTACCCTAGTCTTGATTATTATCATATTAACTCCAGTATTTTGATCTTTTCTTTTCAAGACAGATCCCATTTTATAACAGCAGATATTTGCCATTCATCCTTTTCATCCTTGACACTCATTCCCTCACAAGTCTTTTTTTTCCTTTTTCTTTCCATTTGTATGTTCCTGCTTTGGCAGTAATTCAGTTCTGTGTCTTCAGCTGGAAGGGTGGTTTTTCAGGAGTGGTGATAGTAATGAAGTAACTTTGAGACATTTGAACAATAACAGATTAAATTGTAGTAAAAAATTTCTGCCTTTTTCCTTGCTCTTCTACTTTATGCTAATAGACATTAATACTAAACCTCAACAAAGAGTCTCACAAGGCCTAGGCAAACTACAGTTCATGCAAGGGTTTATTGACGTGAAGGAACCTGCTTTGGCAGGGGGGTTGGACTCGATCTCTGGAGGTCCCTTCCAACCCCTACAATTCTGTGATTCTGTGAAGTGTTTGTCTACAGTCATTTTTAACAGTCGCCAGTAACCCAAGTAATTAGCTACACTACTGTAGCCACTGAGAAGGGAGCAGTAAAAGAAACACCTATAATCCAAGTTATACCCACATAGATTATCTTACATTAAGTTACCAGAAAGACCCTTCCTTTAGATTTGTTCCCCTCCCTTCTATCCTCCAACCTCCCCGGTCTACTGCAGTTTTTTCAAGTTTAGGAAAATCTAAGTAAATGAACTGATAAAAAGCCTCCAGTGAAAATATTTCTAAATATATTCACTTTTGATATCCTTTCCCACTCAAGGGCTATTTAACTCTTATCTCTGGATACATAATAGTAATCATAGATGAACGTGAATTAGAAAAAAATTAAACTGAAGTGAGACATGTTTAACAGTTTTGCTCATCTGATTCGTACATACTGCTCTATTTTTCACCTTAATGTTGAAGAGTTATCTATTAGAAGAAGTCATGTTATTTTTGACATCGATGATGGAATTGAGTGCACCCTCAGTAAGTTTGCTGACGACACCAAGCTGAGTGGTGCGGTCGACATGGTTGAAGGAAGGGATGCCATTCAGAGGGACCTCAGCGGGCTTGAAAGGTGGGCCTGGGTGAACTTGATGAGGTTCAACACAGCAAAGTGCAGAGTTTTGCACTTGGGCCGGAGGAATCCCAGGCAT